AAAGGATTAAAGAGATTAAGTAACTTGCCCAAGGTCACATAGCTAGTAAGTGGCAGGGCCAAGTTCTGATGCCAACTTAGACTATACCCTGCTGCCTCATTCTATAAATACCTATTAAGGGCTTAGTTATTTGCAAGATGTATTGCCAGCCTCTTCAGGACTCAGGCTTCATTAGGGCTTCTGGGGAACCCCTCATCAGCTACTCCACGGGCCTGGCTCCAAGAAAGTGAACACTCCACAGCCCGCTCATTACTCAAGGGCTTTTGGGAAAGGTGGTCAGCTTCTGGTAGGAATGAAGCTCTGTTTTCGGTCCCTTTCAAGGACCTAACAGGAAATATCTTGCTTCAGCCTAAACTGCTGAGGGACATATTCAAGTGGATGGCACTCAGCAGGTTTGGAATGCCACATTCCTCAAGTGCTCTGAGTTTCTGAGCAACAGTGAAAAAATTCCATAGTTAGACTTCTCTTTCTGGATACTCACTGACAGTGACATCGGAATTAGGTAGCTTATATGTATCTGTCCCACACATACAAAACGCTTCACAGAGGGTGAGTCCAGAAACTTTGTAGGGGACTGGTTCTTGGGTACCTGGAAGACACTGCTGGCTCCTCTGCTAATTCTGACTACCGCCTGTTTGAGGGACTGATAATCCGTCCCCCTCCTCCCCTTAACGGAAACCCTCTTTCCTCCATTCTTTTACCTTTATTGCCAACTCCCCACTCTGTGAGCCCTGGCAAATGTGTCTTCATTTTTTGATCTCCTCTCTCCTTGATCAGACCAGTTCATGGCTGTGAGATCTGTATAGCCGTATGGGAACCCACACTGAGAAGGGCCCTGTGGTTGGTTTAATGCTCTGCTGTCACCGACTTGAAATTCTTAATGGTTTTTGAGCAAGGTGCCCCACACTTCACTTTGCACTGGGCCACGCAAGTCATGTAGTCAGTCGTGCTCCTTGCTGTGGACACTGAGAGAGGGAGAAGAGTCCCACCGCACAAGGTAAGAGTGGTGGGATAGCTGCGGTCCCTCTCTGGAACTCAGCAGGCACTTCCACATGGAGACCATCCATAAAAGTGGATCCAACTGATAATAGCTCCACCTTCCTCAGCCTCAATTTTTTCATCCCTAAAATGGGGACAGTAGCATTTACCCTTGCATGTCATTGCAAGCACTGGGTGGGATCATGTATCAAGTACCCACCAGAATGTTTAATATACAATTGGTGTTTGCTTGATGCAATCCATGGAAGATAGCAAGTGCAGAAAACAGAGTTTGAACTCTAGAATTAGAAGCTAGCTTAAATCAGATCAGCCCCACTGCTTAAAAAGATGTATGACCTCATCTGGGTGACTTGGCTTCTCCCAGCCTCAGTTCCGTTATCTGTAAAATGGGAATGTTAGTATTTACCTTGTAGGGCAGTTTGGGGATTCAAATATTCTAATGTATTTAAAATAACTAGTTTATCACCTGGCATGTAGTAGGAGCTCAAAAAATAACAGTTCTTAGTTTGGTTCCCTTACAACACAATTTCTGCACTCTAAACAATTCATTTACAAGTGATGTTAGGATACGACCATTAATAAGTGTCTTATACTATACAGCTTCCTGTATACTCTATGACCTACAACATGTAGCCTCTTTTATGTGAAAACCATTTGTAAAAAATATTTGAGGCTTATTTTTTCTTTGCTAGACTATGAATTCCTTGAAGGCAGGAACCATGTCTTAATTACCCTCGTGTCCTAGAATACCTTCTAACACATTATATAATCTCAGGTGAATTAAATCTCTCTTTTGTTTATGCCAACAATGAGATGATAAATTTCATAACATTCCTAAGTTAGCAATTAGTAATTAGCCTGTTAATGATTAGGAAGCAGAAGGAACTCAATATAGCCCTATCCCTGCCACTAAAGGTCTTCTAACACTTGACATCACACCTGGCTCATCACCCAGCATCCTTAGGCCTGGTTCTTACTCCATGAACAAAACGATTCCACAGGGAACACCAGTTGTGTGCAACCAACCGCCTTCCTTGCCAACAAACAACCTATGTCGAGAGGCCACTGGGGGAAGAATTTCCTGAAACCCCAACAGCTGAGTCATAATTTGATGCCTCTTAGGACTCAAAGAGGGCTCAGAACTGTTACTTTTAACAGTTTGAGCGGTCACGGGTCCCTTCAAGAACCTTCTGATAGTTACGGACATTCTCTCCAGAAAAATGTACTCAGTATCTTACATACAATTCCAAAGCGTCTTCAGACCTCCTGCAGCCCTTGTACCTAGGTTAAGAATTCTTGTTAGAATAGCCCAGAAAACCGAATGAGCAACGCAAAAGATTCAAGTTTCCTGATAAACTCTAGCCCTGACTAGTCACATTTGCTTGTTCAAAACAAAGCAAAACAAAACAGTCACAACTCCCTAGATTTACCCTCAGGGTTATCCCTGAGGGCCTAGTCCCAGGCATTAACAGTAAGGGCATCCAGCCAAGCAGTGACTACTCTTCAGAAAACCTAAGTTTAGCTGAGTAAAACTGAAGCCTTGTTTGATAATATCATTTACATTTCCAAATCCCCGTATCAAGCTTTCTTCCTATCCCTTGTGGCCCTTCCTAAATTTAGCTGCTGGTGTAATGGGGTAACCATGGCAACAACCACCTGCCTATTTAAAACCATCTCCAAAGCTAAATAAGGAATCCTGGAAAAACATGGCTGCTCGCCTGCCTCTCAGTGGACAAACTGTGCATTCCTGGGTATTTTCAACATGAGCAAGCAGGCAGGGTAGAAGCAGCATGGACTCAAAGTTCTTAATAGCAAGTGTTCTGGGACCTTGTGAAACAGGGCCCACCTCTACGCCACTACGTCTTCACTTGTTAGTAGGCACATGGATTTACATGCAAATCCCTGTGTCTGGCATCCTTAGGTGACCACATGACTTTGACCTCAACCAGGTGAAGAGTAAGATACACACCTAACTGCAAAGAGTAGTCTTGTTGATGGAAACTGGGAAGTGGGGAGGAAAAGCAGTCATTCAGATCACAGTGAAACTGTTCATACTTGGGTTGAAATGAAGTTACAACTTTTTTTCTGACAGAGGTATCTTTCTAACTGTACTTAATCATGTGGATAATTGATGATTGCTCTATTTATGTCATATGTTGACCTATTGATTTTTGCAGTATGGAGAAATTCTTCCCTTCTTCTGCTTCCTTGCTCTCTACAAACTGCAGAGGTTTTGCTTCTTTCCACTAAAGGAGACCACACAACAGACCACACTGAATAGCTTGCTCTTGCCCAAGCAGGCTGTTTTCCATCACTCCTTTGGATCTTTTGGTACATTTGGTTCCTTCTCGCTGGGTTGACCTTCTCTTTCTGTCAACCTGGAAAGTAGTTACTTGTTTTCTGTGTCTTGGTTCAGGCATCTCTCTAGTTGGAAGACCCTCCACATCAAATTCCATGCCATTGCTTTATGTCACCTTGATTCATATCGTTTAACACAGATCACTCTGCAATGCTGCTTTCCAGTCTGTCTCCACACCTGCACTGTGAGCCCCCTACACATGTCTATCCAAAACACCCATACAACAGTGCCTGGTACTGTTTTCAAAAGATACATTCATTGAATGAATGAACAGAACCCCCCATGGATTTCACAAACATTTGGCATCTTATCAAGCATGTATGCATGAGTATGCATAATGGTATCTGTGTAAAAAGAGGACCTTAAAAGTCTGGAATGGATGGAAGAGAAGTATTTTTTTAAAGTGATTTTTTTGGTGTATATATTAGAGTGAAAAAGATTGTGAGAAGAGCATCAGTTGATCTGTAGGTTTGTGACTATAATAGGAGTAGGGGCTGAAAATATACATGTTAATAGTGTTCTGTGAACTGACTTGGTGTGTGTGAGAGAAAGTACATTCAAATAAGGTTAGCTCAGCTATTAGACTCCACAGATCACTTTTCCTGAAGTCAAAGTAGCTTCATTATGTTCAGTTTCTGATCCCGAAAAAGACTTTCTGATTCTTGGTTAACCTCCCAGCCATGGGGTCCGGGGAAACGAGGAGGGATGAAAATGATGGAGGTCTGTGGGAGTGCCTGGCTTTAAATGAATGTGTGTGGGTAACACTGGACTGCTGCTTGGTGGGCTAAATAAAGTCAAGTCTCTTAGACTCAAACTGAGCCCAAATTAATACCCCCTCTCCTCCCCACCTGCCTGAAGGTGGGGTGGGATCAAGTGGTCACTTAGATAAGGTCCAACAAAAAGGAAAGGGAAAGAATGCAAATTAACCACCAAGAAGAGGACAAGGAGGAAGGGAGAAAGGTAACTGAGCAATCCCAGGGTGGCCATATGCTACCCGCCGGCAGAATGGTTTGACTTTGAAAATGATCTGGTTTTCTCTTCTGCTTGTGTTTGGACCTCACAGCCTGCCTTCCCAGGTGCGCGGGCTGAGGCTGGGCTCGGGTGGGCTCCCCGCCTCTGCAGGGCCTCCCTCTGCTGCCCTCTGCCGGCAGGGAAGGCGGAGGCGGAGGCGCCGCCCTCTCGGCCCTCTCGGCCCGGGACGCGAGCCGCCATCCCCTCATCTTTGCAACGAGGGGAAGCTGAGGCCTCTGACCCCTGCCAGCCCCTCACCCGAGCAGTCAAGGGACTGGGGCTGGGAGCAGTTGGTTTTGAGAAAGCGGCGCGCCCCACGAGGGGGATCCAGTTAGTCAAGCGCAGACCCCGACTCCCCAAAGCGGGCGCACCACGCCCTCCCTCCTGGCCCCAGGCCCTCCCTCTGCACACCACCCTCTGCGAGGGGAAAGGCCACCAGACTGCGACAGGTTTCTGACATTGCTTTCTTCTTGGAAATGGAAGCCCTCCTTCCGGCAACGTGGCAGGAAAAGCGCTGGGCAGCCGGGCCGAGAACATTTCGGTGAGAGCAGGTGGAGGCCTGGGACCGGTGGCCGCGCAGGCAGGGCAGGTGGGCAGTGCAGCCCCGGCTACACCCGCTGGGCCCTCTTACCTGCTGTTGAATTTTTCAGGGTGTTTTTCTCTCATCACGTGGAATCTGTGTGCGATGGAAGCATCCTGAAAGGCAAAGGGACAGAAAGCAGATCCCTGGTTAGTGGTCCTGACCCTGCATAATGTGGAAGGAAGGGAAGTGAGCACACTCTCTCACCGAAATCCCCCAGATCTCACAGGGGAGACCAGGGAGGCCCCCACAGAGGCTGGACACCAGGTCCAAGGTTAGGGGCCAGTGCCCCCCATCCTGTTATAGTCTGCAATGTTCACCCTCTACCCGCCCGAGTTCAGGGAGAGCGAAAGGGGACGCGGCTGCCCTTTGGGGGCAGGGAGTGTGTCTGGGTCTGTGAGCAGTGAGAACGCAGAAGCCCACGTGGGGCTGAGTGTGAGTGTTTGGAAATGCCTCACCCTATTCACTCTTTAAAAAAAACACTTTGTATTCTGGAATATTCATAAGAAGCTGCAAAAATAGTACCGAGAGTCCCTGTGTCCCTTTCACCCAGCTCCCCCCAGTGATAACATCTTACATAACTCTCTAAACCAGAAAACTGATGTTGGTAGATGCTGTTATATATTAACTCTTAATCATCCATATCAGTAGACAGAATTGGTAGCATTGGATAACAGGCTCAGCAGATAATTAAAAATATATTTAAACTTCTGACTTCTGCCTCTTGATCACTCCATGGAAACAACTCTCCCCAAGGTCAGTAGGAGTCTCATTATCACATTCTACGGACACTTTGCTGTCCTCCTATTAGCACATTCCTTTGCTGCACTTTGGCCACCTGCTCCTCAGAACTCACAGTTAGGATAGTGCTCATGTCACCATGCTTCCGGGCTCTCCATGCTCGGAGCAGACCTTCACAGCCCTGAGCCCGTTCTGCAGCCTACACTCCATGCCACGGGCCATCTTGAGTTCTCATAGTTGTTAGTAGCTGCTGATGTCTCCACAGCGTATCACTCTAGAACCAAACCTGAATTTCAGTCCTAAAACTGAACTCATCTTTCTTCCTCAAATTTGGTCCTCCGCCCTTGTTAATGGTCTCCTTTTCCAGCAAAAGAATGTGCTACGCTCTGCCTTCGCCGCTCAGGCCTCCCCCCAGCACATCTGGGGGGGGGCGCAGGTGGTGGGTTTTAGAAATAAACAGGCTAATTGAACTAGGAATGGTGGGGGGTGGTGGGGGACGGTGGGAGGAGAGGGGGGGAGAGGGGGTGGGAGGGTGTGGGGGAGGGTGTGGGGGAGGGGGGGGGGGGAGGGGGGGGGGGGAGTGGCGACAGAACAAGGGAGCTGATTCAGATTTGTGCAGGGAAAAAAAGATACAGAAACTCATTTACTGGACTGTGTAGCTAAAAGAAAACTCAAATTCCACACAGTGAATTTTCAGCTAGTGCATATTAATTTCTTTTCTTGATATGGAAATCCGACAAAAGAAAATTTCTGAAAAAATAATTTTTTTTTTAACATCAGGAGGTGTAGCTCAGTGCAGAAGCTTATTTTGAGCATGTGCTGTGTGTGGGGAGTAAAATACAGGCTAAGGGTGGGGACAGAAAATCCAGAAGCAAGTCGGGGGCAAAGAGGAGCTTTTGTAATATTTGCACTTGGCAGAGAAGTAAACCCAGCTAGCAGGCCCTGTTGAAAGGCGGACAGGGCAAGTCAAGGATGTGGGCTTATTTTATGGTTGGCAAACACTCTTTGCTGAAACAATGTATTGGGAATTTAACATTTAAACTCTAGTTATTGATTTCTTTGTTAGTTTTTTAAGACACATCAAGAGTTGAAGTTTAGGCACCCCTGTGGACAACGGTGGGAGAGATGCAACACCCTGGGGCGGGGGGAGGCCTCTGTCCTCTGGGCCTATCCAGCCTGCACAGCTTCTCCAGGCAGGAGCACTTCATGCCCCCAGTTCCCTCCTCTGAGCAAGTTTCGTGAACACTCTGAATAAGATTCATGTGACATCTGTCAAATGCTTCTTTAGAATTCAAGAAAACATTCCATCTACTTGTGTTCTTTTGAAGCACTAATTTTCTTCTGTCAGGAAAAAAGAAAGAAGAAAGAAAAGAAGAAAGCAATCACATGTTGCCTGGCACGATCTGTACTTCACTGTCCCCTGCCCCCGACGCTGTTATGACTGGCTCCTGGTTTTTTAATTCCCTGGGGTATGTGCACAGGCCCCTGTCCTCTGTGTAGTTCCGATTATCCTTGTTTTTTTTTTTTCTTTTTCATAACTAGGTTTTGCAAAGCTTCTTTTCACAAAGAGCAGCCTTTACAATATTACTAGTTAAGCATGTGGTTCCTAATTTGACAATGTAATCCCGTGGTAAATACACAAAGTGGTCAGAGGGAGTTGAGCAGGTCCTTTGCTGTTCGGTTTTGAAAAGGCAATGCTGGTAAAGACTCTGACCATGGTCCTCTACCTGGGGATGAAAAAGAGAGGCAAGATTCGCCTCCCTCCTCTTCTGCGCTTCTCTGTGCCAGGCCCTGAGCTGGCTGTACGTACATTCAGTAGTGACTTCATTTAAATTTTAGAAACCAGTGCTATCATGGTTCCAACCCTTTCTTGTAATAATTCCAGCAAAATGAGACTTCTGTTCGGATGGTGGGGGTGGAGGTGGGAATTGCACCCCCATTTCTGATGGCTTCATTCTCCAGGGTCCTTTCTATGAGGTGTGGGGTGAAAAGGAGATAAAAGCAGTATGGACACATGGCTACTCTTTCCTGAACTAAAATTCCCAAGTGCAGAGTTGGACAAAAGATTCCTGTGCCCCTTCCAAATATAAGCAGTAGTCATTTGGACTCTGAGCTATTTGGATGTCTAGGCCAGTCCCGTCCAATAGAAATAAATTTTAAAAATTTTAGTAGCCACATTAAAAAAGTGAAAAGAGGGCTTCCCTGGTGGCGCAGTGGTTGGGAGTCCACCTGCCGATGCAGGGGACACGGGTTTGTGCCCCGGTCCGGGAGGATCCCACATGCCGCGGAGCGGCTGGGCCCGTGAGCCATGGCCGCTGAGCCTGCGCGTCCGGAGCCTGTGCTCCGCAACGGGAGAGGCCACAGCAGTGAGAGGCCCACGTACCACAAAAAAAAAAAAAAAAAAAAAAAAAGTGAAAAGAAACAGATGGAATTAATTTTAATAATACACTTCAATTCACAAATATTATCACTACAACATGTAGTTAATCTAAAAATCACTGAGATATTTAAAATTCATTCAGACTACATTTTTGAAATTTGATGTGTACTTTATACTTATAGCATCTCTCAACTTAGAGTAACCCCATGTCAGGTACACAATAGCCACATGTGGCTAATGGCTACCATATTGGACAATGTAGGTCTAAGTCACTTTGGCAATCTATGGAGATAAAAAAAACAGAAAGGAGAAAATAAGACACATTATTTGGAATTTGGCTTGTTCTGAAAAATGACAGCAGATTGGGGAATGAAAAAGAGTGTAGACCCCTTGTCCAAGACACCTCTCAGTGGGGCCCGGCCCATTGTTCAAGTACCTTCCTGGCTCTCATACGTGACAGACAAGAACCTGAGGCTGAAGGAATTTAAAAGCTGCAGGGAAATGATGACTTTCTGACAAATTCCCTAATGGGTCTACCACTGTGGAAACTTAAAGTCTAATAAGTACAGAATGTCAGGTAGAAGATGATGTGTGGGTTAGTGTAATGACTCTGGCCTCTCCTTGGCCCCTGGGTTCCCCTAGCATCAGAAATAGATTTCATTGACTCAAGGGATTAGCTGTTTACTCATCCCGTTAAGGCTCAGTGAAAGCAGAGCCTTTGAGGTGTTCAGAATTACATATACCACAGGAATTATTTTGCAGTCCCAAACTTCCTGTCACTGATACCTGGCCATCCTGACATTTCTGCAAATCCAAAAATAAAGAGCAGGGATGAGGAGGCCAGAGAAGTCAGAGGAAGTAGCGTCCTGAATGACTGTGTTTAAAATCTCCTGCCAGTGGGTGTTATCAGGTCTCAGGGCTGAGAAGGCCAACAATCTCAGCTCTTCGTTGGTGGGGAGCTGGCGTGTCTTGTGGGTGATGGGAATGTGGTGACAGTGAGGCCCTTGTCACTCTCTCATTAGGGTAGGAGTCTGCCCTGCTTATCCTTCCATCTATTAAATGGGTTCTATTGGCACGAAGAGGAGTAAGTGAACTCATCAGGGTGAATTCTTTACCACCTGGGGACACCATGGCAGCGGTCATTGTCACCACCTTTACAGGTGCAGGGCAGCAGACATCTGATATCAGTAAGATATTCCAGGTCCTCCAAAAGAGGCGAAGACTGCAGCTCTCTTTGCCAAAGGAGTCCGACTCTAATCATCTTAAGGAAGTAAAAGTGGGGGTTGGTTTACATACTACTTCTCCTCTTACAAAGTTTGGGAAGTCAAATAGGGAGCAAGAGCTTCTGCAAATGTCAGCCCCAGATTCTCTTAGGGTTACATGTTGGCTACTTGTTTTCTCAAGAATTTCCCTTTCCAGCTTTTAAAGAGTGAGCACACAAACCCTGCAAGCATTTTATTGAGACAAGGCTAAGGGTACACCAGTGAGATAAAAACAATCCTGGTTCTTCACTGCTTTGCAATAAAATATTAAACACGCACAAGCTAAAGGTATATGAAAAAAAACAGAAAGATTTTGTGAAGTTCTTCATAATTTGAAAGATGAACCGATTGGATTATTATAGGTCAGCCCAGGGCAAATAAATATCTTGACCGCTGAAAGAAATGGAGAATCTGTTCCTATGCATTTCCTTTTTTTTTTTGCCGAACCATGCAGCATGTGGGATATCTTAGTTCCCCGACCAGGGATAGAACCCGAGTCCCCTGAAGTGGAAACGTGGAGTCTTAATCACTGGACTGCCAGGGAAGTCCCTCTATGCATTTCCTTGGGGGACAATTAGTCTGTATTCTTTCCTTCTTTTCCTCCCTCCCATCCCCCCACCCACTTCCATCTTATTTGTAAGAATGAATTAAAACCATGCTCAGTTTTGGCTTTTGGGGTTAGGGCTTGGTTATCTAGTTGAGGGGAAGTTGTATCTTCCTTTTCGGCATGGTCATCCATTTGGTCAGCAATACTAAGTGAATGTCATTTTTTGCATATGGCGCTTGGCACAGATGGACAGGAAGGCCTTAGGAATCCTGTTTTATCTGGCAGCCAGAGCTGGGCATGTTAAGAAAGACTTGCAGCTGAGGACTCTGAAGGCAGCCGTGGGTGTAACCTGCCATCTAGACGCTCCCAGGCAGATCACCCAGTCTTGCGGCTCAGCTTTCACTTCTGGCCCGTGGCTTACAGGTGCTGCTTTCCCCTCCTTTCTATCTTTTCTCTCTGTCATCTACTTCAGATCTGGGTTCTGCTCCTGTGAAGAACCACTTCCTTTGACCATCCTTCTCTGTTCTAATGGGTTGTCTTCACTCACTGAGGACTTGATTGGGACTGTCTGCATCAGAATTATCTCAGGGGCTTGTTAAAAATGCAAATTCCCAGACCTTGCCCGGACCAACTGAATCAATATGAATCAGGATCTGTCACAGGGCTGGAATCTGCATTTCTGACAAAGGGTACAGGTGGGGTATAGGCGAGCCATCACGCACTAAATTTTAAGGCCCGCCTCCCCACCCAATGCTGCTGCATTCGGCAGCATGGAGATGGAGGGCTGTGCAGAGGCTGCATGGCTCAGGGTCCATAGCTAGGTGGGCACTGGAACTCGACTCTAGTGATTCCCGGCTCTATCACTCACCAGCTTGGACTGGTCTCTATCTTTCTAAGCTACAGATCCTTCTTACAAAATGTAAAAGGGCAAGGGCTATACCCACCAATAGGGACACTGTGCCTGGTGTGCATTAGGTACTCAGTACATATCAGTAAGTTATTCTCTGGTTTAGGAAAAAGGACTCGAGTTTCTGTCACACTGTAAAGATGGGAAGCCCGTGCTCCAGAAGTCCTCTGACCCCCCGAACACCAGACCTGTCAGTCAAGTCTGATTTGCAGAAGCTGAAGACTGCGTGAAGTGGAACCTGAGCAGGTGGTCCCAAAGTAGAGGGGCTTTTGAGCCAAGAAAAGGAGGGAGAGGTCTGCCTAGGTCACTGGGGAAGGAGCTGGAGGGTGCTAGGGAAAGACGTCTTCCCCCATGAGGGCAGAGGAGCTGGGGAGATAAACCATATCAGGACAGCAGAGACCCCTGAATATGTTTCTCGTCCAGCGCCCCCATCCTCTCAGAGCCTGATCACGGGTCCAGCAATGCCTCTCTCTTCTGTTTTAGTAATAGAAAAAGAGGGCGGCATTGGGAGTCAGAAAACGAAGGCAAATCCCTTAGTCTAATCCTCTATTTCCTCACTTACAGAGCGGAGGTAGTACTGCCCTCCAGCGTAATCATAAGAATCAAAATATCTGTGAATATGGTAAATTTTAAATCCCATAAATATAAGGTATTATTATTCTTCCTTTTCTCTTTCACGGTTCTCCTTTTAGTTTTCTTATTAAAAAACAAAACCCTTTCCTTAACCCTGCTCTTCCCTCAAGCTACCTATCATTTCTCTTTTTCTTTCCTTTTTTTAAACCACCAACATTTGCAAAAGAGGCACAGGTTATGATTGAGATGATCACACAGTCTTGGTCTGGAGGGGCTTATGTGCATATGAAACTGGGCAGCATAATTCCCAAGACAGGGAAGCAGAAAGGAAGGAACCTGGCTTCGGAGCAAGGTACAGTGTGTGTGCACTTCCTCGCCCGGTGTCCTGAGGCTTCATCTGTAACATGCGGATGGTGGGGACAATAATACCTGCAGGATTGCTGTGAGGACTAAAGTCTAGCACCATGGAGAGCACACAGTAGGTGCTCAATAAATGCTAGTATCTTTGTTTCACCTTCCTCCCAAACCCCAGTTCTATTTATGGAAATGATCGATAACTTTTCTCCCCAGTGCTGTCCCCAACAGTTTGGGCAGCAGTGTCCACCCCATGCACTTTGGACCAGAAGCTGAGTTCAACAAAACAAACCAACTGAGCTGTGCTACATGTGATGGGAGCTAGGGGAGAAAGAGGAACGTGGTGCTGTCCTCCTACCGTCTGTGTCTGTGTGTGTATGTGTATGGGTGCGTGCATGTGTACGTGCATGTGTGTGTGTTTCAGGAGGGCTGAGACAGGCACATTAAAACAACCCCTTCAATCTAAGGCAGAGGTGAGCACAGAGGACTGTGGGAGCACCAGGGGGAACACAGAGCTCAGCCTGAGGGGTCAGCCAGGAGGAGATGCCCCAGAGGCTTATGAGCACTTGGACTGTGGGGAGTGGGGCTGGGATGAGGGGAGAGAACAGGAGAGATGGAATTCTGAGAGCTAAGCCAGTAGAGCCAGCTTGAGACAACGTCTTCCCTGGAGGATCAGAATTTCCAATTCTGGAAGCTCACCTGAGAGTCTCCTTCTGACCTCAGCCCTTGGTTATTTCTTGGTGTCGCTTTTCTTTAACTACTTCAAACTATCCAAAGGGTAAATAGGTCTTTTGAAAAATGTGCTGTCTTTTGAATGATAGGGGCAGGAGCTTCCTCCATAATCATGGGTGGGGCTTGGTGCGATCAGGATGTCCATGCCCAGGCCAGATGCAAGGATGCCTGGACTTGAGTCGAGCCTGGGGGCAGCCGGGATAGGTAAAGAATAGGGACCCAGAGGGGACAGTGGAAGACTAGAACCCTTCCTGCCCACCCGGGCACTTGTCTCCCGTTCAGAAAAGCCATCCCTGGCCAACTCACCACGCCGATGGAGAAGTAGTTGTTCATGATGTTGTACGGGACCTGGTCCCCATTCTCCACCTCCTCTCTGGGGATGACTTCCAGATGCCAGCGGTCCAGCATCACCAAGGGGCTCTGCTCAATGTCCTTCAGGATTTTTGTCAGGCTGCCCCCTTCATAACCTGTGGAGCACAGCACTGCATTTACCCCCAGAGCAGAAAGGCTAAGTTGTTGCTGATGCAACAGTCAGGGCAAGGAGCCCCTTGGGCATCTGGGGCCAGGAGACTCCCCAGTGTGTCTGTGGGCCAGAGCCACTCGGGTTCCCTGGGCCACAGAGAAGGAGAGGACAATATGGAGTATTAGAAAGAAGCTGGGGTGATCTGGAAGCCAGAGTAACAGGGGTAGGGCTGGGTGCTGGCCAAAGATGGGCAGGCCTGTGTAGCTGAAGTGAGCCCTGGGGAATTGGTGGGCTGGATGGTTGGGAAGCTGCACATGGGAGAACTAAGGATCTGTTCCAGGACTGTGTCATGATGGAGATGGACAGCACTGTAGGCAGAATTTTAAGATGGTCCCCACATTTCCTGCCCCTGGGGTATATATACCCAGCAAACCCCCAGGACCTGTGGATAAGATGGGGTAGTCACGGTCATGATTTGGTATATTACATGGCACAGCTGACTTCAAGAAAGTGAAATTATCCTGAGTGGATCTGACCTAATCAGGTGCGTCCTTAGAAAGACTGGGCTTTCCCTTAAGAAATAGATTTGAAGCTTGAGAGGGATTGGAAGGAAGGGGGATTCTCTTCTGCCAGCTTTGAAGATGGAGGGATCCATCGGCCAAGGAACACGGGAGGCCTCTAGGATCTAAGAGTGGTCCCAGCTGACAACCAGCAAGGAGACAGGGACCTCAGTTCTACAACCACAAAGAACTGAATTTGGCCAACAACCTGAATGAATTTAGAAACAAATTCTTCCCCCAGAGTCTTCAGAGAGGAGCGCAGCCTGTTCAGTGCCCTGATTCTACCCCGTGAGGCCCTGAGCAGAAGACCCAGTCACGCTGTTCCAGGACTTCTGACCTACAGGACTGTGAGCTGATAAATGGATGTTTTAAGCCTCTATGTTTATAATCATTTGTTACTATTACACAGTAGCAATAGAAGATTAATGTAGCAAGTGAACTGTAAGTGAGAAGTTAGTGGGAGAGACAATCTTTTCTTTCAAATAACACTTCTATGTTCCTGCTTACCTTTGGGACAACCCTGAAGAGTATTTTCAAGTTGTCAGGGCTCTAGTCCGCTCCTTAGGGGATGCCTCACAAGACAGCAATGATACCAACAAGGGAGCTGAGGGCCTTGATGCTATCTGGGAGCACAAGGCTGTGTGAAATGTGTGCCTCGCTATGCTGCCTAGATGCCCAGAGCGTGGGGCTACAAGTCTGCCTGTCCCCTCTTGAACAGAGGGTCCTTCCCTAGCCCAGTGTGTGGTTGAGGACCCTGGGAGCTCTGCCCACGCCTGCCAACTTCCTTCTAGGGCTGGCTCCTGCTTGCTCTGCCCCTGCCCTCCAAGCACGCACACTGACCGCTGCTGGCCTGGTCTTGGATCACGCTCGGAATTGATCCGCCACGTGGAGTCTCACCCCAATTCTGCCTGCTAGGCTGACCTGTCTGTTCCGTGTGCTGACCTGAACCTCTCCACTCTCTGGAGCACGCCCAGCTCCACAGGGGCTGTTGCAGTTTGCAAGGTTCTCCTTAGCTCCTGCCCATTGCACTGTGAGCTGGCTACCATTCTGAGTTCCCCCCTTCGGTGAATTTCAAAATGAGGGCCCCTGGCCATGGGGCCCTAAGATGATCTGGACGCCCCTAGTAGCTGGCAAAGTGGCTTTTCGGTCTGCATTCTGAATCCTAATTCAGAAGATCAATAATTTGGAGAGGGGGAATTTCATGCAGAAAAATCCCTAAGTGAGCCCTACTGGGATGAACCCTGGAGGGGAGACAAAGGAGATTCTACCCTGAAGTTGACTTGTTCTACTGGGGGAGGCAGACTCGAAGCTGAGTTTCAGGCTGACAGTAAATCTAGTGAGGGGTGGACACAGGTGTCGGCATGGAATGGAGGTTAAAGAAAAAGTGTGGAGTAGAGATGATCCCAGAGTTGAGTATTACTCCGTGGAATGTGATCCCTAAGAGGGAAGTTCAGCCTAGCTCTGCAGAGCCTCCCTGTAGATTGGAGCACTCGTCTCCAGGATAAGGCCTCTCCCATGCAGACTCACCCCCTCCCCAGCGGAGACAGCGGGCCAGGTCATTTCCCGTTCCAAGAGGCAGGACAGCCACGGGTGGATGCTTTGCGAAGTTGGCCTTATCTGCAACCCATGAAGAGGAAGAGAGAACCATATGCCATGTGATTATAGAAGGCTCAAGTTGTCTAGTTATCCCTGATCTAATGCTTGAAGCCCTCCATAGCATTGTTTGAATTCTTCTCCTGATGGGGAACTCACTACTTCCTAAAGCCATCTTTTCCATCTGCAGTGTGTTAACCACTGCAAAGGAATCTTTCAAATTGAGTTAAATCTGTCTCCCTGTAACTTTCACCTGTTTATCCTCATTTCATCCTAATTCTTTCCTTTGGGGTGAAGCATATAGCTCAAAAACATTAGTTTGCACAGTTTTAATCTTTAATGATAAGTACCATTTACCCCATTTATCCCTCAGACAGACCCTGCAAGGTATTATCACTCTCATGGATGAAGAAATGGAGGTTCACAGAGAGAAAGTCATTCCATAGCCAGGATCCAAACCCAGATCTCTGTGGCTCCAAGTCCATGCTCCTCCTTTCTTCAGAGGCCAGGCAGGTGCATGAATAGTAAAACAGGTGGGTCTGAGATATCAGAAAATGGTGGGGCACTTGGAAAACTGAAGATGCCTCGCTCGTCTCAAGTCATTCAGGCTCAGAAGCTTAAAAATAACACTGTGTCTAATAAGCAAAACCCCCAGGTGTTATTTGGCACCCGGGTACCAGTTTGCCACTTCCACCACCTCCCAGACCTGCAAACACACCGATTCCTAATCCTGTCTCCCATGATGGTTGTAAAGGAGCATCAGACTGAACTGTTAGAGAAAGCACATCAGAACATGTATGTTTTAATCTGGCTGTAGGTCTACAGCAGCATGCTGGCTGAGCTGGAAAAGTTGAAGGAAGCCAGACACCCACTGGGCTCCGGAGGACACCACTTACATAAACCTCAGTGCACCAGGTGCCGGGGGAGGATGTGAGGGATGTGATTGGGAAGCATGGCTGGGGGTTGAGTGGGGAGTGATGCAAGAATCAGAATCCTGCGTGAAGCTCATGCTAGGGCTGCCCCAGCAGAACAGGTGTTCATAGATGCCCCAGGTAATCAGACTCATGCCGGCAGTGGCTGAGCTTAGGCAAGACTCAGGGCTGAGACTGCCACCAAGAGGGTTTAGAGGGAGTAAATCAGTGGACTCTCTCATCTTCCCAGAACACACAGTCCATGTTTATGCCTCCCTGCCTTTGCATGTGCTCTTCCCTTTGCCTGGAAGGCCCTTGTTTGCTTAGGTCTGCCCCTTCTTCTGTGGTTCCCATCCCAGCAGATCAACCATCCTCACAGTGTTGAGGCTAGAAACATGGATGTCATTCTAGATTTTTCCTTCACACACCAATTTCTATATGCTGTCCCACATCCATTTACACATCAATTTCTATATGCTATCCCCTTAATAGCTCTCCAAGCAATCTCTCCTCTCCATCCTGTGGTGATGGTTGAGTTCTGGTGCGGTATGATTCCTTCCCACTGCTATTGCTGCAGCAGCCTCCTCTCTGCCTTCTCAGCCTCCAGTGTGTTCTCCACACTTCTACCCAGGCAGGAAATCCTTGAACCATGAGCCTGATCACACTAGTCCACCGCTTTCCCTTCTGCCATGGCTCCCACCACCCCTTAGCGCGCAGCAAAGCCCTTCCTGGCTCTGCCTTTCTCTCTAGCCTCATCCTTCTCATGTCCTGCCTCCCACTCGACATGTCAACCTTGCTGAAGTGCTTTCAGGGCCTTAAACCACAAGCTCTCTGTTGCTCAGCACAGAGCCCTCCCTGGTTGCCCTAGTCTGGACCTGGTTCCTCTCCAGAGTGTTTCTTTAGTACCAGGGGCGATCTCATCACACTGTCTTGTAACTGACTACTTGTTTGTTCCCCAAATGCCCTGTAACCTCCCTGGGGGAACTATATCTCATTCACCATAGTATCTCCACACATATTTACTGAAGGCCTAGGTGCCGTGTTAGGTGCTCTGGCTCTAATAGCAGGCAAAAAAGCCATGGCTCCGGCTCTCATGGTACCTACAGTTGAGAGGGAGAGACAGCTATTAACAAGGGCTTCATAGAAATGATGCATAATTTCAGATTCATACTGGGAAGGAAAGGAGTGTGGTCCTGTAATGAGTTATCAGGGAAGGCTTCCCTGAAGAAGCCACACTTTAGCTGAAATCTGAAGTAGAAGCAGACCAAGCAAAGGCCAGGGGAGCAGAACAGACAGGCCCTGTGGTAGAAGGGACACTGGTGCCTTCAAGGGTCTGAGAGAGGGACTGGGTGTCTGGGTCTAGAGGGAGCGGATGGCGGTAGGAAATGAGGCTGGCTGGGCAGTTGCTAGACCACTTAGGGCCCTGTGGAGCATCTGAAGAGCTTTTATCTTTATCTAAGAATCCTGGGAAGCCACTGATGTGCTCTGCACACATCACAACCCCACTGACATTCAGGAATGACCACTCTGCCTGTAGCAGGACAGCACATCAGAGAGGGGACCGAAATGGGGCGGCGGAGAGCTCAGAACAAGGGCTTCAGCCTCTCTCTCTTGAATGAATGAAAACTGTGCAGTTACTCCTTTTACCCTTGTTTTTTAATCTTTGGGCCACTAACCTGTGAAAAAGCAGATCACCTCACATGACCTTCCTGTTCTGGGCAGCGTATATCACCTGTGTCCTCTGTAGCTGAATTTTATAAAACTTATCAGCAAAGCCTACTTTCTCCTTCCCGATGGAGAGGGGCCCGTGTGAGCAGCTCCAGGTACTGCAGCCATCCACCCCCTGCTGATCAGCTTCTCCTTCCTCGGCTCCCAGAGGACGCCTCCCTCCTCCCACAAACAACTCCAGAGCCCGAGGTGACAGGAGAGCGTGGGTGGCTGCTTGGCAGGGCTGTGTCCATGGAAACCAAAGTGCCTGTGGGGGAGTAGATGTGGCAGGTGTGCGGGGTGCCGGTCCCCCCTCCTCCAGGTGGTCTGCTTACGACTCCTGGGGGCCCAGGCTTCTCCACCCTGTTCAGGGTCTATCCTGGCCCATCCTTGACTCCTTCCTTTCCCTCATCTCCCACATGAAGTCTGTCGGCAAATCTTGCAGGCTCCACCTTCAAAAGATATCTGACTCCTTCTCACCACCTCCTCTGTCACTACTGTGGTCCATGGCACAGTCCCCCTCCTTGGATTACTGCAGGAGCCTCCTAACTGCTCTGCCAGCTTCCACCCTTTTCTGTTTCTGTAATCTGTTGTGTCCCTGCTTTGCTGAAAACCATTCAGCATCTTGGGACCTTCCCAGTATGAAAGCCACATTCCGCATAATGTCCTACATGTCCTAGTGACTTGGCCCTGCATTATCTCTGCTTTATCCCCTGCCACTCTACCCTCACGCACTACACGCCAGGCACGGTCTGCAGTCTTCCCACTGCCTTTGGCAGCCTGGCCTGCTCCTTCCTCAGGGCCTTTGTATTTGCTGTTCCTTCCACCCTCAGGTATCCGCAAGGCTCACCCTCCTCCAGGTCTCCATGCAAATGTCATCTGCTCCTCACGGCCTTCGGAACCACCTGGTCTTAGATTGCAACCCCACTCCCTCCGCCGAGCTCCCTTTCCCCCTTTTCTGCTGTTTTTTATCACCTTCCAACACACTGTATGTTTCACTTATTTCTTTGTTTATTGCCTGTCTCTTCCCTCTAGAAAGGAAACTCTGTGAGGGTGGGATATTTGTCCTCTGCTCACTGCTGCATCACCAGTGCCTTGAGGGGCGCTGGGCACCTGGAGGTGCACAGCTAGGATTCGGGGAATGAAGGACGAAAAGACCAAAGCAGTGCAGGGCTTGTTGCTCTGGGTCATCTCGGACTTTGATGACCGCCCTCCCCAGCAATACCCCTGGCTGCTTTCCTATGCTTATGTCCCATGTCCCAGTGTTCGTCTGGGTGCTCCAGGGTTAGATCTTGAATATACCCCTTGTCCGAGAATTTCAGAATCATTTTCCACCATTTACTGGTGGTGCTGTGTCCAAGGACCCACAGATCCAGGCAGACCTGGACTAGAGCCAGGCCTCCTGATACCCAGCCTGGGCCCTCCCTACCCTCCCTATAGCCGTTTGGATCTCGGCCTATTGGACACAGCCCACCGTGGCGCTTCTTTGCTTGCATTCATCTGTGCCTTCTAGGTGCACTTTCTGGGCTCCAGCTGCAGGTGTTCCTCTCAAGGTGTCTTGCCCGGGCTATGAATCAGTGCTTAGTTCTTTGGCCTTTATCCAGCGCCCTGGACCTGCCTGGAGTCCCAGCCCTGCTCCTTTTCCCCGCAACCCCCCATCTGGCCTGTCCTGCAACTACCTAAAGCCCGGCCATGACAGCTATTTATGAAGCAAGGCCTGAAACTAAGCTGTTACATCTGCACCAGTGGGAATCCTTCCATTATCTTCTTTTATTCTTTTTTCCACCCAGAGCAAATATTTAGGCAAGCACTGGTCCAAGAGTAGAAACAAGGATGAACAAAACATGGCTCTGTTTCTCTTTCTTGTTGATTGCCTTCCTCTGACTTTAAATATATTTATTTTAAGTCAACTGCAAAAGCCCTTCCAGCCCATTCTTACCAATGCAATCCAAAATCCAGCCAACTGTCCCATCTCCTCCGCAGGCCAAGACACGGAAGTCTGGAGTATCACGGAAAAAGTTGAGTCTGGAAGTAGAAAGGCCAAAATGGTTTTGTTTACAGGCTGACCTTTGACACTCCTTGAGTCAGAGTCCCCCGACCGCTCCCTTCCCTGGGAGTATGTTATGACCTTGATTCCTTTTGGGGTTGAAAGGGTCACTTAATGTTATGAAACCAGAACTTAACTAAGCAATGCCATTGAGTATGAATCCCATGGAGCCATCTTTGTATAAGGAGATGCTGACTCAACATTCAACACAGAAAATGGTTTTTAGAAATTCTCTATGATTTAGGCAGAGGAGTCCGTAGTTTCCTTATTTTGGCACTGATACAACTAACCCCCAGCATTCTGACTCCTCTCCAGCTCTCTCACCTGCTCTGTCCTCACGACCTCCCCTTTAAGTCAGATGCACTGAGCTGGCTGGATCCTCGTCCCACCCAGACCTAAGTGGAGTGAGCACCATCTCCCCTCGGGGGTCTTAACCCTTTAGAGCAGGGCTCTTAACCTGAAGTGCATATCTAAGGGGTCTGGGAGTAGAAGCCAGAGGGCCACGAACTGGAAGAAAATGTTACACTCTTAACTTCCCTAAAGCTCTAGGTGAAAATTAGCATTTCCTTCAATTATGTATGTAGGCCACAAATCACAGAGGTATTAACAATGCCTGTGACTTTGTTAAGCGGCCGAAATCACAGGTATTTCGATGTTTTACCACAGCTGTGGCAGATATTTTACATCACTTCTGCTCATCGCTGCTTTTAACTTACAGTAGCTATTAGACCTGTCTCTGGAACTTGGTATATAATGTCTTAGTAAATCACATATATTCTCCTATCACAAATTTGTTTTTTAACCTTTTGATAACTGTTCTTTTCAATATAATGAGTTTCCCTGTTACTCCTATGTATTTCATTTTATACATTAAAAAATATTATCTTAATATTAAGAAGTGGTCCGTAGACTTCATCAGACTGCCAGATAGGCTCCTGGTGCAAAAAAGGTTAAGAACCTCTGCTTTAGCACAGACACGACCTGTGGAGGCCTTGAGGTGGGGCTTGAGAAGCTGAAGCTCAGTATTTCCTCTTTGCCCTGCATGGTGATCTGAGAAGACCCCTTCTGAGTCACCAATGTATGCATGGGCAAATTAACATCCCCTTCCCTCTCTTTCTCTTGCAGAACTCTGCTCTCCTGTATGAAGCGGGCTCTTAATGGAGGCTCCCTTCAGCTAGACAGCCTGTCTCATTACAGGCTGACATGTACAGCACAGAGAGATACTCAGGGCACAGTGGCTCTAGAAGTAGCCACCAGGCTTGTCATCCTGGGCAAAACCAATTGAGAATAGATGCAGTTAAGTGAGTACTGTCTGTATTCAAGTATTAAAATGCCCTAAAAGAGAGCCGGCTGGTAAAGGTATTTGTGGGCTGCTGCTCAGTCACAAGTCACAGTGGAGCAGTAACTGGCAACCACGGTGACCGTGATGGTACGCGCAGCCGTACGGGTGGGCTCTATTTTGAAGTTAGTTTTACAGGTAAGTCACGGCAGAGGTGCTGAATCTACATTCATGCTTCTTTCCCCTTTAGTGGGTCTTGCACCAACGCTGCCATTAATAATAGCTTTGTGTCAAACCAAAGACAGGGACAGAGTTCCTTTTCAGAGTCCTTACTCCAGCCCCTATTAAGGTCTTGCTGAGCCCAGAGTAGAAATGCAGGTTCAGATGTTGGGCAAAGCAGCTGTGTGTTGGAAAGCCCAGCCTAGCAGGTGCAAGTCTGAGGACCTGGCACTGAGATAGCTTTGGGCTGGCTGGCAGACGTCTCTAGTGCACTGTCTCTGGCTGGTAAGAAGGTACCAGTCCTTGGGTACCTTCCAGCCCTAATGCTGGAGGGGCCTCTGATTACAGGGCTCATCATGTCCGCCACCAGCACAAGGACCAGCTCCTCCCGTAGACCTTGGGTTGAGCTGCAGAGGGGCTGCCTTGTCTCCTCTCATTGTTCCCCGTCTCCTTGACACTTTGCTGGTGAGCAGGGAAATGGCCAACAGGCAAATGACAGGAGGAAAAGGGCCGGGAGGACCTTAACAACGTCTAACTTGGATGATTCAGGAAAAAAGTGATTTCATTGAACAACCAATTGTCTTGATCCTTAAAGGCCCCCACAACAGAACACGCAGTGGAGCTCTAAGTCAGCTGTACAGATTTCTGAAACACAGACAGACAGTGGTAAGAAAACTCTTTCCTTCTCCCTGATAATTCAGTATGAAGATACCAGCTAATATGGCCTTGCAAGTAAGTTAAAGTAATCTACCAGCCCGCCCTTCTTGTCAAGCCAACAAATGACATATGCAATTTCTCCCTCTTACAAAATCAACAACTTTTTCTGGGATAAAGTACAGGAGGCTGCTTCCCAGAGTTAGCCATAATGGGTGGTCCTGAGTATCTCCAGGAGGAAGTAAGAGTAGATATGAGGAAAAGAAGAGAAAAGGAGTGAAATGGCAAGAAGGACAAGTCCACCAATGAAAGAGACAAAAAAAAAGTGACCCCCCAAAGCTAGCTTCTTTAGAGATCTAAGGGCGCGGGGGAGAAATAAGAAGTGAAGATCGTATCTCCATACCCTGGAGTAGGCCCCCCATTGTCCAGGTTGAAAACTTGTTTGGGGTTGAGCAGATAGTGGAATTTCCGAAGAATTCTATGGAAAAAAAAAGAAAGAGAGAGACAGAGAGAGAGGCTGAGACAGAGAAGGGGAATGTCATTGTGAGAAGTCACAGGAGGGCAAGTACCTCTGCAGCCCATTGATGGTGGGAACGTGGGTGCATTTATACCCAAGAGGGGAGAAGAGTGCATGCAGGCCCTGCAGACCCTGAAGTCCCAGGTCTGGCTGGCCTCACCCATGCCCTCACCCCATTTCAAGGTCTTCCCCACCATCCAGCACTCTAGTGTCCAACCCCAGGAGTAGCACCCCTTGCACAGAGGACAGGACAGAGCAACCCGGAGAACAGAATTTCCATTCTCCTAAAGCCTTCTCCTTCATGGAGACCTTCTCCCAAATGTTCCGTATGTTCTAGGTAGAATGATTCTGCTCTTTGTGGGCTAGACAAAGGCACCAAGGGACCCTCTATGGAAAGGTCCCCCAAACCCTGGGATCAGGAGGACACGCAGGACGTGGGGTTGGGGCAGAGGAGGGCTGGGGGCAGTGACCACATCTAGGCTTGGTTTCAAGGCTCCAGCTTGAGGCTAATCAGGTCAGTTCAGGAGGGGTGCTCCGCCCCTAGGACTGGGGTGGGGACTCTCATAATTCTTGCTTAAACCCTGCTTATTATTTTTTAAAACCTGGATTCCAGATCACCCTGCCATCTGTTCACTGCTCCAGAGCTGAACACTGGGAGGCAGAGCTGCTCTGCCCCTTGCCACCCCTCCCCTCCCCTTCTCTTGGGGCTTCCCACTGACTGGGCGTTTCCTTCACTGATGAGACGGGTGCCCTGCTTTCTCAAGGGTGGGATAGGCCAGGAGGTCTCAACCAGGTGCCTCTGCCATGTCTCTTAAATCAAGAAAAGACTTGCAAGGCTGGGAAGTTAACGGACGTCTCAGAACTTGGTCTGATTCTGGGAACCATAATAATGGCCCACGTGACAGGCCCTAGGCCAGCACTGTGTCTATTTTAATGTTCACGAAACCCCTGTGGGAGGAGAAACGATTATTACCTCCGTTTTACAGAGGAGGAAACCAAGGCACAAGGACATTAAGTCCCTTGGACCAGGTCATCAAGCGGTCTGTGTTTGGGTTGGGATTGGACCACAGGTCTGCCATGTCCACAGCCCACTTGGTTACAGTTGGCCTAGCCTCTCCATCTCGAAAAAGAAGAGAACATACCTTTCTCCTTGTCTCCCTCCACTCTTGGGGTTCACCAAAACCAGCAGGGGGTGGGTACCCGGGGTGGGGATGATCTTATACTTAAAAGGCAAAAGAAAAAGAAATTAGCTCTGTTTCAGCCAATAGGAGGAACGCGACGAGAGTGGATGCTAAGACAGCTCCCGGGAGAGAAGCAGTTCCAGGCATGGAGGAGAGGAGGTCAGGAGGCAGTAAGGTGCTGGTCCACTGGCTGAGTTTTCTGAGGGATTAAACAGCTAAGCGTCTCCAGCCTAATGGCCTTTAAGTAGTGTTAATGGTGACAAGCGTTTGAAGTTGGGATCAGAGATGGGGCAATGGCATTACAACTTCAAATTATTCACAATGGTGTGGCATTGTGCCCACAGCACAAGATTAGATTTTGTGAGGGATACAACTGATTATGATCTTAAAAGTCAGGGCCATCTGGCCTACACCCAAATAAAATAACAGCCATGGAGTTAACTATACTTCCGCCCCAGTACCTTCCATATCCACATTTCCAGCCCCCATTTTCCTCCTGAGCCCTGGTTCCACATTTCTCACTGTCCAGGGGGTACATCCAGCCAGATGTCTCACCAGAACATGCTCCAAACCTGACCTATCTTCTTTCCCCACAAAACTGGCCCTCTCTCCTGGCTACCGTTATTATTCATCCAGTCATACAGGGAAGACCCTGTCCTGCCAGTTCTTTCCCTGGAATGTCTCTTTATCTCCGGCAGCTGCCACAGTACCCACACTGCTCGGGCCTTGCCCACCTCAGGGGAAGCCCTGTATGCTGCCCCCATGCAGTTCCTTCCCAGGACATCACTAGAAACCTTTAAAGACGTCTCGTTACCCAGAGGATAAAATCCAGATCTCCTAAGCCGGCACGCAAGGCATTTAAGTGCAGCCCCAATCTACTGTTTTCTCTTAATTACTCTAACCTTCACTGCAGTTCCAGCCAAGTCTGGCTCGTACCTTCTAGGGAGTTAATTCCCACCCTTTGGGGCTGCTCACACTGGTTTCTTCTCCTCCTGAAATGCCCACTTCCTTCTTTGCAACCTCTTAAAAAAGAACTCCTCATTCTCAGGGCCCAATTCAAGAGCTACTTCCTCTATGTTTTCCTTGATCATTGCAACGAAAGCTATTGCACTTGAAGCATATATTGGTTTGGCCAAAAAGTTCGTTCGGGATTTTCCATAAGGTCTTATGAAAAACCAGAACCAACTTTTTGGCCAACCCAATAATATCTTCTGGGTTTCTTTTGTTATCATTTATTTGTATATGTCTTTATTTTTTATTTTCTCAGGTAAATATCACAAAACATCAAATGGATTTTAATGCCTCAGGAGCAGGGCGTGTGTGTGTATAACCTTTCTACCAAGGGCCCCACTGCCCCAGATACAAGAGTGGGTACTCGATAAATACTTGTTATCTTCAGCAGAAAGACACACCGATAGAGATGCAGCTTTGCTCCGTATTCACTATCTAATGCCTACTTTTCCAGATTGCACGCTAAAAATTCACCAAACACAGGGCCATATTGTTTGAAATGGACAGCAGCATCCTTTATAAATTTTGGGAATTTTCTCATCTGCCAAGGGTGATTATTTGTGTGAAACCCAGAAGCATCTTGGAGCTTAAGGAGTAATTCTTTATCTCTGGGGGTGATATTCAAAATGTTTAACAACCTGTACAGCATGGGCACTGCCCAATCAGAACAGATGCAGGATAACCAGATAGATGCCAGCTGTAAACAACTGACATACCTGCAGTGTGTGTGTGTGTGTGTGTGTGTGTGCGCGCTCCATCTGACTTTCTCCCTTTCAAGGTGTCTAGAGCTTTCCCACATTAAGCACCATTGCTTATGTTTTACACTCATCTACATGTTCTCATTGAATCTTGGAGCAACTATGGGAGGTGGGCAGTGCAGGGATTGCTATGCCCCCTTTCAAACAAGAAAACTTAAGGTTCAGAGGCAGAGGAGAAGGCCCCAGTGTGCTATTTCCTTTTCTGGTACTTGTTCTACCTCACCAGGCTGCCTTTCCTGCATTCCCTGGAACTTTGTGAAAGGCACAAAGAGAAGTTCATTGGTGAATCCAGCTAAAAAAATGAGTTCTGAAATACACGTTTAAGGATGAAGAAGAACTTTTGGGTCTAGTTAACTCTGTTCTGGGAGATCACATTCTGCAGACAGCTTGGTAGTCCTGGAAAACCTAATTGTCTATCTTTAAGCCACATTCTTGTTATTATTCAGGGAGTATGCATAATGAAGTTTTATGCATTGTGTTCGTAAAAAGGTGATAAAGCCAGTTCGGCCAGCCACGGGATCAACCAACCTCCCTTCGCACCACTTGCCTACAGTGTGGTTGTCAAAGGTAACCCCAGAGGCTGGAAATACAGTGTCCTGTGTGATATAATCAATCAGCTAAGAAAGCAGATGTTGAGATGTGTTTCTCTAGAAGCCAAATCCTGTTCTCCCCTCCACAGCCTTGGGCCAGCTTAGAACGAGTGAGTAGATTTGGGGCTTGCCGAGGTACCTGTGTTACAAGTTCATCCTTGGCTGACATGCTACCATCAGACTTCCCATCTTGCCTGTCCTATAAAAGAGAGGAAAGACAAGCATCTTTTGAAAAAAAAATGCCTACTACAAAAAAGGAAATCAGAAGAAAAACAAATGGTTAATATAAAGGAAGAGAACAGAAAACCAATATAGTGTAGGGAGTTGTTTTTCAAAGTGGGACTTTGGACGTAAAAAAAGAAATGTTCCCTTTGGGTTTCTCAAGGACTCTCCAGGCAGTTGTCATCACTTGCCCTGACTTTAACTTCGAGACACTGGAAGGGACACAGTGTTTCAGAGAAAACACTGAAATGGGCATAAATCTACTTTGTTGATTTAGAAGCCTGAGCTTTGAGAAGCAAGGTCTCAGATCTGGTTTCTCTGTTAAGCACTACCTAAATGATGTAATACTAAGTCATATGTCCTATTTTGTTTGTTTGTTTTTTCAATGTTTATTATTCATTTCATTGAGGTTTAATGTCACATATAGGAAAACGCTCAAATTTAAATCTACAGCTCTGTGAATTTCTGCACACGTATATGCCCTCGTAACTACTGCCTCTTCTGGCATAATTCTGTTGTGACTCCTGACACCTTATTGGTTTTGCCTGGCTTTTGAATTTCATATCAATGGAATCATAGACCATATCTTTTCTGAGTCTAGGTTCTTTTGTTCAGCATTATATTTTGGGGATTATCCATATTTTTGCATCTAAGCATGGTTGTTTTTTATTGCAATGCAGTATTCCATTACACTAATCTGACTCCACTTATTTCCCTATTCTCTTGTCAATGGTCATTTAGCTTGTTTCCAGTGCCTGACTGCTATGAATAAAGTTGATAGGAACATTCCCGGACATGTCTTCTGGTGGAATAAAGGCTCGTATTTCTCACAGGAGGGCAACTGTTGAGTCACAGAGTTTGTGTATTTCCAACTTAGTAGATACTGCCAAATAGTTTTTAAAGTGGTGGGTTTTTTTCTTTAGTTTTTAATAAGAAAGAAGATGGTCAAGTCCAGGGTGAGATGTGAGGAATCAGTGGAACTCAGCAGCATCTTTAACATGGAAAGAGAACAGTTAAGGTGTTTGGTGCTTGGCTTGAAAGAGGGGTCTTCAACACAGGAGACAGAAACAGTTTCAGATGGGGATAAATACAGTTTAATTTTGCATCTTTCATTTCCAAGAAGGGCTGTGACACCCAAGGGGAAACGTTCAAGGCAGAGGGAGGTCCATGTTTGGACACAGGAGACAGGGTGACAGGGATAAGGGAGGCCTGGGCAGCCTAGCTGTGCACAGGTGTTGACTGAGGTTCCATATATGTGATCTGCCTGCAAGGTGCTTAGAATGAATGTGCTTTCCTTGCTGGGCCATTTCAGAGCATTCTGGGTGGCCAGCGGTTGGAATCATTTTAGTCAGGGAAGTTTTCCCTGACAATCTGACTGTGCAGCACTGACCTCTTTTAAACCTGGGCTGAAAACACAAATCCTAAGACTTGCTGAGGGAGCCCTCGGAGGGGTGTGAATGTCTGAATGCTGCCTGCATCTGAAACATGAGCTGGGGTTGCAGGGGAGCCAGAGCCCCATCGGGGTGGCAGCACTTACCCGGGTGATGGGGCATATTGACGTGGGCAGCAAAATATGGTCTCTGAGCTCCCCACCGTCACACAAAGTTGACAATTCACATTTGCGGTGAAACTGGAGGAAAAAATGAAGATGAGAGTTAAGTGAAAGTGATCAAGGAAATGTCAAGTATGAGGGTTTAGAAATTTACTAGGGAGGCAGGTTGCCTAGTGCTCCTCTAAATCCTGAGGCACTGCTGGCTTTCGCAGTATAGGAGAGAGAGAGAGAGAGTGTGTGTGTGTGGTGTGTAGTGTGTACCGGTGTCTGTGCTCGGTTATGGGTGCCAAGTCTGCTGTGGGCAGAGAAAGGAGACCAAGTGCTGCCCGCGGCAGCTGGAGCAAAACGGTCCCGAGCAGGCCTGTAGCCTGTCCGTATGGCACCCCCACGTGGATTCCAGAGCCCCCATGGGATATTTGCTCCCTAGGCTCTGAGACACTGGAAGGAAGGAGATCTTGTTGAACAAACTCATGAGAGGCTGGAGGTAAACCCCATGACTCAACCTCTGCATTTTAAGAGTGCTGCAGTCTGACACGTCCTTTCTGAGGCTGATACCCAGTCAAGGGGACAAGACACGGCACTGAGTCTGCTTTGGAAGGCAGGTCAGGCAGCTCCAGGTGTCCAAGGAGGAGGTGGACATTTGTCATGGATGATGGCAGTGGACACAGGCCTCTTGTCCAGGCAGTGGGGTTGCTGTCAGGAGTATGCCTTCCTCTGATGCAGGTGACTGAGTATCTAATTCCTCTCCCACTCTGTCAGTGCCCCCGCCCCAGACAACACCCAGGCGAAGGAAGTTAATGGTCCAGCCTGCTGTTCACAGCTGCCTGGCCACAAAGAGAGTAGACTGGTCAGCTTCTTCTTAAGCAGCCCTGGGGGGTGCCCTCTCTCTGGGCATCTTGGTGATTTACTGGAGGCAGTTAGACTTAGGGCACTGAACAGGGGCTCTAGGCTCCCTCTCTAGCCTTGCCCACGTAGCTCTGCTCATGCCCTCTGGCAGGATGCTTGAGCAAAAAACCACACTGAAAAGCAGCAGGACTGCCCTGGGCGCCAACCCACCATCATCCGGCACCACAGGCAGTGCCGCGCGGTGACACTCTGGTAGCACTTGATACTTTTGTGGCACCGGTCACACTTGACAGAGGAATTCCCTTCCACCCACGCGTGCTGCATCCCCTGCAGGAGGGAAGCGAAGGATACCAGGGAAGGCTGCAGAACCACATCCCAGGGCCCTGGGCCCTGGGCCTGAGGAGAAGGGTCTGGGAGGAGCGCAGGGAGCGGGGAGGCCAGAGAGGGTTGGTTCCTGTTTAGTGGATGCACTTCTGGATCCCAGGCTGCTTTGCTGAATTGCACCAGTGTGGTCACTCCCTACCTAACCTCTATCATGCTAATCGAGGTGGATGGAAAGCCACTTTGCCTGCTCTTTGAACAGTTCACCCCCTCTGGCAGTCAAGCCTCTGAGCATCTCCTCTTGCAGTTCATCTGTGTGTCACTGGAACTCTTTGCAAAGGGATGTGTTTGTGTGTGCCCTTTTCTGGAAGGCAGCGGGGTGCAGGGAAACGCAGCAGGGCTTGGGCTACAGACAAAACTGGTTGGAGTCATTGATCTTCCACTTTGCAGCGGGGTGACCTTTGGCCAGTTCCTGGACCTCTCTGAGTCTCAGGTCCTTCATCTGCAGAAATTGGCATAAAATGCCCCACCTCTGGGTTTTCTGGGAGGATTCAACGAGACAGCACATTTGAAAGGGCCTTCCTGGCACAGTCCTGGCCCTTGGGGGGTGCCCCTGATGGGGAATCCCTTCCCCCTCTGTCTTCTATGGGCCGGTGCCTCTCAGCCTTAGCAGCCCCTCAGGACCACCTGGCCGGCATCTAGAAGTCCTAATGCCCAGCCCTCACTCCAGACAAAATAAATTAGAGTCTCTGGGGATGAGACCCATCATTAGTATGTTTTAGAGCACACTGAGTGATTATCATATGCAGCCAAGGTTGAGAAGCACTCAGGAAGGAAGTTAGAGAGAAAGCCCAAAGGGATTAGTGTGGGTCATCAGCCAGCAGCTTTCACATCTGTTTCCTGGAGAGCGGGTTGTACCTGCCTCTTGGCCAGGACATGCCCCTGAAGCAGCCCAGGAACTTGGGAAGCAGGTGTGAATGCATGTGTACGTGTGTGACTATAAATGCAAAGCGACCCATGATACCAAATTCTGGGGGTCTGAGCCCTCAGTTAAGTCCCCCGGGAATTCTATAGAACTCCTCAAAAAATTTTTCACCAGGGTATCCCGAATAGCGGAAGGGGTGGATATGGACTCTGGGGGAACGTGGGGACATAGCCTGAAGTGCCAACTACAAGCACAATATTAAAAACACATGGAATATTTGCATGATACCATCCATGTCTGTATTAGATAAAAGTTTTAAATTACTTATCAATTAAGTTACTGTGTCCTGCTTCCAAAAGATTTTCGGTAAAACTGTTGTTCTAGAAGATGTGTCACATGTACTCTGTAGTTTCTCCTTCTGCCATTCACCCCTGAGGGTATAAAGAACTCAGTTTGCTAATCAATTTGTCATCTACATGGTCACAATGAATTTGTTCTGAGATTATTATTACTTTTACTTTACAGAGAAAAAATATGAGGCTGCAGAGAGGTTAAGTAACTGGTCCTAGGTTCCAAGGCTGGTAAGTGGCCAAGCAGGGACTCATGGCCAGGTCTCCTGACTCCAAGTCCACGGTAGTCTCCCAACACCACGTTACCTTCTCCATCCTCTCCATCCTCATCCTCTTCCAGGATCAGAAGAGACGGTTAAAGACTTAGGTTGCCCCTGGAGACTCAGAAGGTCGTGAATGTGCCCTGCTGGTCCCTCAGAGGTCTCCCTCTGTTCCAAGTGTGGCAATGGCAGGAGTGCAGGCTTAGGGCCTGAGCCCAGGAGGTGCACCATATGTCCTGGTGAAAGGCATGGACATGGAACGGTGTGTGTATGGGCGTGGTACGGAAGGAGTAGACAAGAAGCCACGCGGTGTCTCACAGGCATGCATGCGTGTCCCTGGAGGTGCCCTTCTCTCTCGGAGTCCTTCTGGGGGAGGGCTGGATACCACTCCCACCTGCTAACCATCTCCTGACTCAGATTCCTCAATGGGGTTTTCCCTCTGCAGGAACTCGGAGTGCCTTTCCCCTGCTAATTTGAAGAAGAGTCTGTTTCCAGACTCAGTGAATGGTACCAGCCAATGGCCACCTTAGAAACCTGGCAGCCATTTCCAACCTCTCTCCCTCTCTCATCCCCTACGTGACTGTCACCAGGTCCTTGTGGTAGGACCTTCCAAATTATCTCTCAGACTCTCCCTTTATGTCTTCCACCTTAGCCAGTGGGACAGCCAAAACACTCAACGACCGGCATGGCTGGAGGACACTCACTCAGCACAGACACAGCCATCACTGTGCTACTGCAGACATAGCAGAGCATAGTGGGTGAGTGCAGACCCCACCCCAGTCAGGCCCTAGGGCAGCAGTAACTCTTGCCTGAACTGTTGGAAAAGTTTTTTCATCCCGTCTGATCTGATCTCTCTCTGGCACCATGGTCAGAGCAATTAACCTAATTTGCAAACCCAAACATCTCCTCATGTACTCAAAGCTCTTCAACGGCCCCTTAGCTACAAATGAAACCCCTTCCCAAGTCCTCAGCTGGCCTCACAAGACCTGGATCTCACCAGTTCTGCAGCACATCTCCCGCCGCTTCCTTCTAAGCATCCTCTATCCCAGTCACACGGAACCAAGTACAGATCCGAGAATAAGCCGCATCTCCATGCCTTCACACGTGAGGCTTCTCCAGCCTGGGGTGCCTTGTCCTCCTTGACTCCTTATGAAATCCCGCTGATTTGGGTTCAAGACACAACTCAAATGCCATCTTTTTGGTGAAACCTTCCCTGTCCGCCACCCTTGATGCCTCAACTGTATGTCCCACACAGCCCTATCGCTACTGCACAGCTCGCTACTTTGCGCTTCGCTTACATGCCTGTCTCCCCTCACTAGACTGCACAGTCCTCCAGGCTGAGGACCACCTTTTAACCTGCATACCCTCTGGCACAGGATCTGGCACACGGTGGGCACCAGGGAGATGCTAAATGGATTGATGGGTGGACAAGATGGTTTAAGGGTGGTCCTCAAGGCAGAAAAGGGACTGTATAAAGCTCCCAAAGCCCCTTTCTGCCCAGGAATCTGTGGAGATGGACATGTTGCCTGGGACACAGCATGCAGGAGAAGAAGGCAATAGGTATCACCAACCTCGCCGCCCCTTTTGGTTTTTGAGTTCGTTTTGATACACCCAGGAATGTTTTTGGATACACAGCGTTCATGGACAGTGTATTTACAGTCTGAAAATAAAAATAAGAAAAGTGACTGTGAGTGACCACGTAGGGAAGGTCAGCCATCCCCCTGCCCCCCACCCCAGCTGAGGCCCGTGCCTCCCTCTGCGTGGCCAGTCAGGGGCAGGGGACATATGGAGCTGACCTTGCCTAATGGCAATTCAAGTCTCCAGTTGTTCACTGAGAAGAGTCCATGGCTATCTCCCAGACATGCTCCTGCACCCTCCCCCCTGCCACACTGCCTTCCACCGCGGGTGATGAACGCAGCAGGAAGACATCCCCAGAAAGGTGCTTTCCGCTTAACGGGAGTGAGGAGTCATCCTGGCTATGCCAATGCCACAGTACTGAATGTCAGGATTTGGGGCGTGGACAGCAAGGCCGGGGTCTTCCTAACTCTGGAGACAGGAAGGCCTGAGCCTGAACTCTGGCTCTGCCCTTTGTAACTACCCACACGATCTAAGGTAAGTTCCTTCAACGCCCTGAAATTCAGGGTTTTCTACAAAATGGGAAGAAGATTGCTTTCTCTTTGCAGCATTACATAATTTGTATAAAGCACCATGTGTGTGGGTCAGAACAGCTATTCCACAAATGGCTGCTGTTGTTACTGTTTACTACTGTGCCAACAGGCCTAGAACGTACTAGGAATGAGGCTGGGCCTATGAAAAGTGGGTGAGAGCTGGATTTGAAATAGGTGCTGGAAAGACAGGTGGGCCCCTACTTTTGCCTGCTGATGCTTGCTCTTGGTAGACACTGGGCCCAGCTCTGCTACGATGACTTTTGTGGCTGGGGTTACCTGCTGCCTGGCTCCTGTGTGCATGGCAGATAAAACATTTTGGTGACCCACCCCGTACCCGACGGCCCTCGCTGCAGCAGCAGCTCCCCAGTCCCTGGAGGGTTCAGGCTGAGTGCTTGCTGTCTGCATCCTGAGGTGGGGGGCAGGATTCTGCACCCACGCAGCCTGGGCCCTACAAAGCCTTCTTGCTGCAGCCCCTCCCTTCTCTTCCTGCTCTGCAAACCCACCCTCTTTCCTACATGACCCCTTCTTTCTTCCTTCTCCTCCATCTCTTTCTTCTGTCCTCCTTTCTAGTCTTCCTCCTTCCTTTTCCATGTGTGTTTTTTTCTCCTCTCCAATCTGACTTGACTAAATGGATTATAAAGCCAAACAAATGGATAATTTTAATTCCACTGTATATATGAATATAGTTGCTTATTAATTAAAAAAACAAACAAACAGGTTCTTCTGACCAACCAAAACATTCACTAGCAAAACTCAATTGAAATTATTATGAGATGCTTTTTAACTACATTTGAACCTTAATAACTTTTTCTAGGCAGTCAGTGGCCTATAACGAGACTCTAATAGGATAATATTTGTCCCTTTGACTTGGGTAGAACAAAAATAGGACATGGAAGTTTTGCTTTATTTTCTGCTGTTGGAATAATATGGCAAATCCCTCAAGCTAGGAAGCAGAGATGCCTAAACTTTTCTGGGAATGGCTCAATCATGTATAGAGCAAGACAGTTCCTGGGAAAAGGGATTTGAAGGAAGTTTACTCACAAATGCAGCACAGGCCTTGCTTCCGAGCGCCCATCAGCATGACATGGCAGAAGTTGCAGTAGGTTGGTTTCTTGAAATGCTTCATGGTCCAGGCGTGCCTCCCGTCCCCCTTGGAGCCCTGCGGGGACAGCAAGGGAATGAGATGCAGGCAGCCCCACTCTTTCTAAAAAGAGTCTCTTCTTATATTTGGAAAACAAATTTATTATGTTATTCACAAATTTATTTTGTTATTCACTTATTTTACTGTTGTAAAGATTATTTTAATAGAAATGCAAATCAAAACAAAATTCTTTGTGTGTATTTTCTAAAATAAGCAAATATTAAAAATTAGGGCCATTTGAGTAGAGTATGTGGTGGGGGGAGTGGAAATCAGAACAATCTTTCTTTCTTTCTTTCAATCATCTATTAATCATCTATTACCTATCAATCATCTATTATCTATAATGATCTATCATCTATCTATCACCCATCTATCTATCCTTTAAATGTTTACAACCTTCAACTTATACATTTCCTTCTTGGATTTTATCCTAAAGAAATCATTTTTGAAAGATAGATGGGCATTTTTGTGCTCTGTCAGATGTTTAACCCAGCATTATTTAAAATAACTGAAAATATCCTAAAGGTCTCAAAATGACCCAAAGGTTTGTGGTACATCTGTATGATTTAATGTTAAGTGGCCATCAAAAACATATTTATAAGAACATTGAATGGTTTGGGAATGTGCTCGTGATACTAAGTTCTAAGGGAAAAAAACAGAATGCAAATTTGATGATATATTATGATCTCAGTTTTATACAATGATACGTTGTACGGGAAAAAACGTCACCAAACTGTTAACAGAGGTTAGCTATAGCTAGCAGCATTATGGATTTATTTTATTCTCTAATTTCTACTTTCTTCTGTATTTTCCAAATTTTCTACAGTGAGGAGGTACTAGTTTTACAATCAGGAAAAAATTAGCTTAGTAAAAACAATGTACTCCTCTCATCACCTTTCTGTGCACAGATAAAACAGCAAAGAGACAGAGACAGAAAGAAATGGTTAAGCCATTTCCCCCTGACTTGGCTTGGAAGCAAATTCATTCTATCTACCAGATAAGCCAAGCCTCACATAATCACACACCTTCCTTGGACACCAAAGCTCCCACCTTCTAGCCCCTGGGAGCATAGGCTTGCTGGAGACTGTGGCTTCAGGAGCATCCCTCCAGGTATGGTGTCCTTGACCTTTTGTCATAGGCTCCATCAAAAGAGTAACACTCAAAAAAAAAAAAAAGAGTAACACTCTTGGGCTGTTGTTAAGGGTAGTAAAAAGTACTGTAAGGTGGTAAGGATTGAGAGAGTCAGGTACATGGAGTCCAAAGTGCTGGATTGAAACCCACTTCTTACTTCTGTGTCCCTCTGGTTTGGGTTGGTCATAGTGGCCAGACCCATTCCTGTGCTCAACTCTTCTGCTAACGGTCTCTAGAGGAGCCCACATGCTTTTTCAAATGCTGGTCTCCTCCTGGGGCCAGGATAAGTTCTTTTCTTCTTACCACCTCAAAACCCTGCTTCTTCCAAAACCTGAGTCTTACAGAATTAAAGCCTTTTTATCTAATGGCTTCTACTTTAGTAAATGGGTTCACTAACTGATTAAATGATCCACTTAAATATCTATTCATTCATTCCTTTGACAAACATTGACCTCAAGGGATTTTTGTAAAAATTAAGTGAAATACTATAAGTGAGGATCCTAATCCAGTGCCCGACACATTGTAAATGAAAACATTTATTAAGTTCCTACTCCGTGCTAGGCAGTAGGGGACACAAAAATAAGTAAAGAGTGCTTTCCTACGTGTAAGGAGGTAGATTTAGACCTGTTCTAGAAATGAAGAAGCAAAGACTCACAGAAGTCATATAAATAGCCCAAGACCACACAAATAATAAGGGACCAAGCTGAGCCCGTAGTCACACTGGGGGCTCTTGCTGGCCTCGGAGCCCATGCTCCTTCCATGCCTCTCCTGTACCTCCACAGACCAGGGTTTTCCTTCATGGACAGAAGGGAAATTACAGCACTCTTAGCAGACCCAGCTCCTTCTTCATCCAGCCCAAGGGACGGTCATTTGACCTGAAATACCTTTATCCGCAAAATCAATTAGTATATGAGAAAGGGAGAGTCAGCTATTTTTATAGATACAGGGTAAGAAGCAAAGGGACCCTGACTTGGGATAAAGTAACATTTCTGCTTGGGTTATAGCACCATCATGTGGCTCCTTTATTTCTGCACGTTGGCGGCTGCAGGGTGTAGGAGTAACGTTCCTTATGCACACCAGGTTTTGGGTTGAGGCTGCAGTTCCCTTGGGAGACAGACTGTTTCTCATACATGCCATTCAGAGATCCCCAGACTTTTCAGTGGCCACATGTGGGTTTTGAAAAAAGCCAAACAAGCAAGGTGGCTTTTAAGACATCGAGGAACGCTTTCCCTAGAACCCCAACTATTAATGTGAAAACATACAATTTAGTGCCTATTTTCAAATAAATGCATAAAATTTCAATTAATAAAAACCAAATGCACATTTGTTTTTTGTTTGCATTATTCCTGAGGTAAAGTATGGTTTTAATACAAGGCTGATTTGGCATCAGGGGGAGACACTGGGGAGAATGCTGAAGAAATAATGTCTCTCCCTCTTCCAGCCATAAAACAGTGGATGCCCTCCAAGCAAAGAGTTGGTGGCACTTTGGACTCAACAAGTCCAAAATAGGAAACAGAACTAGAAATTGGTTCCTTGTGATTAAAATGTCCCATCTCTATTTCCATGTTTCAGAGAAAAAACAGGTGCATTAGAACAGCACTCAAGCAGAACTTCCACTTTGATTCAGCTATAATCTTGAGCCTTGATAGCAGAAAGTATACCTAACCTATTTGAGCACCCCCAGGTCCTAGCTCATGTGGGTTCGTGCACACAGTAGGTTCTTGGTAAGAAATCACTGCATGATAAGTCTGCTGTTACTGAATATGGAAGACGGCTTCTGGTACTAACTAGGTGTGTGTCCATGGGCAAGTGCCTTTACCTCTCTGGTCCTTGGTATGAAAAAGGAAGGGGACAGACCAGGGAGCACCAAGTTCTCTTCCAGCTCTGACCTTCTAGGGTTATAAGGAAAAAGGAGATCCTGGTTCATTGATTTCTATTTAGCACTTGGAAAGAGCTGGACACGCTATGAGATAATTGCAGGATTCTTAGTCCTTGAGTGTTGGAGATGAGGACTCAGCTTTAGTCCTGAATTGCAGAACTGTCAGATGGACACAGCACAGGCAACAACATCAGCTAGAGGCTAACCCAAATGAACCTCCTGTTCTGTCCCTCTCTTTGACATTTCAGTAATCTTGAAGAGGTATTGTCTTACAACCCGTGTGACTGTACCGGTAAACGCTAATGTCACCATTTGTACTTTTAGTTCTAATCTTCCCTACCTCATGTATGGAAGCTACTTTCATGGTAAATAAGCAGACCAGGTCAGATGCCAGTGATTTCACATTAAGCCTCTACATGTATTCCCTACTCTGATCAAAACTGGGAGGTTTCTCTAAAACACCCTGAACTTTCTTTCATGTGGGTCTTTGATCAAGGTATTCTCCCAGCTGCAAACTCTCTCTTCTACCAGCCAAATCATACCCATCCTTGAGAGCCAGATCAAATATCCTAGGTCTTTATCTCAAGAATGGGATATCAAAATCCCACACATCCTTCAGAGCCAGGGCAAACACCCTCCAAAGTTTCTTCCACTGGTCTCACTCCTAAGTGTGAGACGTTCGAAAGTGCAGGTTCTTTGGAGTCAAGTACAAATAAATGCTGGCTATTCTTTTTCCTCTTCGGACTCAGAATCTCAGTTTTCCATCTGTTTAAATGGGTAAAAAAAAATCTACCTTATCTGGTTGTTCTGATTGTTAAATACGATATTATTATGGGCTTCCCTGGTGGCACAGTGGTTGCGAGTCTGCCTGCCGATGCAGGGGACACGGGTTTGTGCCCCGGTCCGGGAAGATCCCACATGCCGCGGAGCGGCTAGGCCCGTGAGCCATGGCCACTGAGCCTGTGCGTCCGGAGCCTGTGCTCCGCAACGGGAGAGGCCACAACAGTGAGAGGCCCGCGTACCGCAAAAAAAAAACAACAAAAAAACCCAGATATTATTATTGAACGCCCTCTGCCTCACAACAAATCAGTATTTTTTCCTTTCTTTCTTCCTTTCCTTCCTTCCTTCCCCAACTCTCTTAGCATTTTTAAACCTAATTTGTGAAAAAGATGGAATTCTTCCCTGAATATTTTTTGCCCTTTGCCTGGTTGAGCATAAGTTTCCGGTGGGTGAATATTGTATCTGTGTTCCCTCGTAGCCCTTAGAACAGTATCTTTATTTAGTAATAATTTAGTAAACGTCTGTCAAATGAATGAATAATATTTCAGGCACTAATAGGTAAAAAGAGAGGACTTTTGGGCTGGCCTAGAGCATACGGGCTGTCCATTGGGAAGTCTTGGGCAGAAGCCAAGGATATTAACTTCCACATGGAACCTGATGTTTCTGAAAAGTGAGAGGTCTTTGACCTCAAGCTTGCAACTTACAGAGTCGTCCATGCCCAGGAGGACGAGCAATGGGATGGTGGTCATCCCTCCGTGGACCCACTCCTGGAGAGACACAAAGCCATCCCGGTCGTAGTCCATCCCTTGTAACATCTCCTTCAATATCTGTGGAATCCATAGAGCAACCACTGTCCACTTTCATCTTCGACTTCTCTGCCCCACCCCCGCCCCGCCCACCCTGCTCTTTTCTTTCTCTTCTGTTCTATGTTTTCTGGCTTGTGTTTTACCCCTTTCCCCTCTGATTCGGAGTGAGTAGAGCATTGAGGGAGCAAATGGGGGTGAGGAGAACAGGGGTCCAGGCCTGGCTCTGCCCTGACCTGTGTGGCCTTCGACAAGCCACCCCAACTCTCTGGATTCTGCTTTTCTCGTCTGTAAACTGGAACTAGTATTGCTATGTTTGCAGCATGGTAGTGAAGATTAGAGAAAGTGTATATAAAACGCTAAATATTATATCGGACTCATAGGAGCCCCCAATGTAATTATTATTATTAATATTATCTAATGATTGAGAAAAATCTTTAAAAGTCTTTCTAGCTCTAAATTCTCTGATCTCTGAGCTCCTGTTATAAAAATTTAGCTTTGGTGAAAGCGTTAGGAGGTATTATTAGGTATTATTATTTAAATTAGTCTACACTTGCCCCTGCCGCCTCTAATCTTTCCTATCAGGGAAGTGGGAGATCAAGGTGTAGGACCCAGAGAAGTCACTTCTAAGAAGATGATCTGGGACAGCCTGCACCGTAAACATGTGTTTCCAAGTCCCACTCTCATCTTGGAAGCTCACTGGAAAGTCACCCCGTGCTTTTGGAAACTCACAGGCCTTAGCTCCGTGGGATCCCACTCGAGATACTGGGCAATGTGTAGCATCTGGTTGACAATACGATCCATCTCCTAGAAAACATCAAGGAGAGAAGCCAACTGAAGATGTGCTTTTACAAGCAAGACTCAAAATCAAACCCCGTGGGAAGATGGGCAGGGCAGAGTGTGAGAAGCAGCTGGTACAATATACTGGCATTCCATCAAGCGCTCACTATTTGTTTTTGTTCTTTATTTCTGCCTTGACCACAAAGCTCACAAGAAACACAGACCGTGGATAAGCCAGAGGTATGCAGAAAGCTCACTGAACACAGACCTCCTCCTAGACCCACCTTCCTTCCCCTATTCTGTGCTTTGACTTAGCATAGAAAGCACTCCTGTTTCCTCCTTCTTTGTGATCCTACAAATACTTACAAACCAAGGCACTTACTTCTTCCCTCTTTTCCCACACCTCATTCCCACAGCTTTAGCAACTTGGGATTCATCTATACCCCTTGGGGGTCAGTTTCAGTTGGATGTAGAGCCACTGTGTTGGTCCTTTCTCAGGCACTATGATTCAGATTCCTTTTGGCATCTCCTTTGTTTCCTTTGTATCAAGTCCTGGGTCCAGGACTCTTGGAACAGGAAATTCACGAAGGGTATGTTTGCCTAATGAGTGAGCCTTTTGTTTGGTACCAAGGCCAGGCTCCATCTAAAACCTCACAGAATTGTTGGATGCTAATGAATCAGTGCACTGAGAGTCCCACTGAAACACACTGGACTGAGAAAGCATTTGTATGTCTTGGGCACCACCTAAGATGTCCATAGTAAGGTTGATTTGGGGACACAGGTTGGAGAACTGAAGCAAGGTTTAAAGGTGTTACTTTCACCAGGTAGAATGTTGGGTCAAAATAAGCAAGCCTTTTAAAATTGTACTTCATTTAAAGTAGAAAATAACCCATTTCAAAACCGCAGATGAAGTGGTAGATGCGGATAAGGAAGTGGGCAGAATGGTGGGAACAGGGCTCAGCAGAAGTTCCAATGGAAAAGAGCTCGTGAAACTAGTTGGGTCCAAGATTCAATGTGAGCAAACGATGTGATTCAGGAATGGAGAATTAGACTCAATCTTGGGCTGTGTAAATAGGTGGGCATTTTCAGGGAGCAGAGTGGGCAGATTTCAGGAAGAACTAGTTCCCTGATGTGAATACTTAAAGAGTCCTGGAGGGGTGGGTTCAGTTCTATGCCATATTTTAAGAACGGCATTGACAAACTAGAGCTTGACCAGAATGGAGATTTAAAACTTCCTTATAAGAAACAGTGTAGAAATTAGGAAATATGAGCTTGGGGAAGATTTTTGGGAAGATGTGATAGTACCTTCAAATACCTGAAGGCCTATTGTGTACAACAGGTACTCCACTGGTCAGCTGCCCTGGTCAGCTATAGAGGGCAGAAGTAAGCTGAGGGATGGAGGGAGGGAAGAGTTGAGGGTTGGCCTATTTTGACCTCACCACTGGGTTGGGGGAGGGGAGAGAAGAGCAGAATCAGGTTTTGTATTGAAAATTTCCCTGGCAGACTAGAGATGCCTTGTGTGTGGGAGGGATGCCTTCTCTAACAGTCATCCCCAGTGGCGGAGCGGCTGTTTTAAGCTACTGGGTGAACTCTCCATTACTGGGAGTGTTCACAAAGAGGCTGGGCATCCAACTGCCAGGGGGTCTTGGTGGGAAGTTGAAAGAGAGAGAACTATTTTGAGACTCACTTCAGTCCACCAGTGTTACCTTCCAAATAGATCCAGAATTTAACCACTTCTTACCACCTGCAATGCTGCTACCCTGGTACAAGTTACCATCATTTCTTGTCTTGCTTATTTTAATAGCCTCCTAACGGGTATTCCTGCTTGCATCCCCACAGTCTAGACTCAACGCAGCAGCTAGAGTGATCCTGTTAGGACCTAAGTCAATCATGTCACTCCTCTGCTCAGAATCTCCAATGGTTCTCTACCTCTCCAGAGTAAAAGAGAGAAAACCCTTTCAATCACCTGTAAGGCTTGATAATGCTTTGCAAACGCCCCGTCCCTTCTCATTACTTCTCTGATCTCATCTCCTATTACTCACTCCAACCTCATCTGTTCAGTCATCCTGTTCCACTCACTCTGGCCTCCTAGTTAATCTGCTAACATTCTGGGCATCCCTCAGGACCTTTGGCACTTGCTGTTCCCTCTGCCTGGAAGGTGCTTCCCCATGACTCACTCCTTTCACCTCCTTCAAGTGTCTGTTCAGATGTCCCCTCCTCAGGGAGACCTTCCAGCTAAAACTGCAGCTCCCTCCAATACTTCCTTTCCCTCCTTTATTTTCCCTCTAGCACACAGCTCTATCTAACACATACTTGACTACGCTTTGCAGTGTGTGTGTTTGCACTAGAATGAAAGCATCATGAGGGCCTGGATCTTTGTCTGTTGGCTCGCTGATATACCCCCCGGTGCTTAGAACAGTAGCCGACATATATGAGATACTCAATCAATACGTGTTGATCAAATGCTTGAGAGTCTGTGATTCTCTTGGTGGTTCCCTCGCATGACCCAGCTCACGGAACTGCAATGTGGCTGCAGGGATCCCATAAAGACACTCTGGGGTTGAGTGGGAACCGGGACGATGCAGTTGGTCTAGGGACTGGTTCCCTTTCTTCCTCCCTTTGGTCTGACTCAGCCCCGTGCACTTCAACCTCTGTTAATGAGTCCCATCTCTGACACTGCCAGTCATGAGGACAGGGCCTGTCTGATTCTCGTTGCCTTTTCTCCTCTCTACCTTCTTCCTTTTCCATCCTCTTCTCATTCTATGACCCCTGACCTGTCCCAGCCTCTTCCTGAGGGGAGGTGGGGATGAGACTCAGGCTTTCCCAGGCGTGGTGGGATGGGATCATGTGCTCGGAGCAGACAGAGCCAGACTCCTAGAGCTGGTGCCCTGGGGTATGAGAGGAAGGTAAGGGTAACGCAAAGCACTCCAGCAGTTACCTGCCTTCTCCTGTCTTCTTGCCCTGGTCTCTCTGCCTCTCCCCACCTCCTCTCCTCCACCCCTGGGCTTCAGCAGGAAATTACAGGGGGAATTTCTCAACCAGCTGGGAAGTTAAACTAGATGAGATACTAAAGCATCTCCCCAACCTGAGATTTTGCGATTTGAGCTTCTGGAATGAAAAAGCAAGTTCGAGTTCACTCTCCTCTGGGCGGGCTCTTTGGAAGTAGAAGGCGGGGGGTTCTAGTCATCTCTGCAGCTCATACCGAGACACTGCTATTCCTATGAAGATGGAGCTGAGAGTGTTTGGACTCTCCCTTCACCTGTTCCCCTCTCCCCCAGGCTTTCTTGGATCTTGGAGGGATATTTGGAGAGCTTACCGCTTGGTCCAGGAGACCATTCTCATCCGAATCATAGAGACGAAACATGACTGCAAGAAACACAGAGGTGAGGCTTGAGATGTCCTCCGGGTACCAGGGATGGGCTGAGACTTTGCTGCTGCCAGTTTTTAGGTCCGTTCTGACAATCACTGGAGTGAAGTCCGTTGCAGCCAGTTCACCCACCCTCCAAGGCACAGAGTCTGACCTTCCTTACAGTGTGGGAAGAGGGAGGAGAACCAAGCCACCTGGCTTCTGGGACTGTCTAAGCAATAACTCTGCCGCTGATGAGATCTGGGTCACAGGCGTGATTCCCTGTAGAGCACTCACACCTCTCAGCATCACGGGAACACAACTCAAAGCAGATGCCCCGCTGGTGGTGGGGCAGAGGCACCACAGTTATAGACGGGACACTGCTTCTACTGCACACAGAAAGGGTGTGGAGTTAGGCAGGTTCAGATCTTGGCCCTGTCCTACCACCTCTAGGGCATCACATAAGTCATTTATCTTCTTTAGGCTCAATTTCTTCATCTGTAAGATGGAGATTATAATAGTTTCTTTATCCTAAGTGTTTTTCAAATTAAGATTAATATGTCAGAGATATGCTAAATCTATAGCACTTGGAATGTAGAGAGCACCCAACAGATGTTATTTATTTTTATTTTCTTTCATTAATGAATATTTATATATGGCATTTAATATGTACAACGTACCATCCTATGCACCTTATCATTATTACTTATTTAATCCTCAATAACGGTATGAAGTAGTTATTATTATAGAAGCTATTGTATTTGTTTTTCTAAAAATGTCTACATGCAATTCAGAAACATCTTCTACCATGTTCTAGCTGTAGAGAGGTGATGGAAGATAAAGATTTGGGAGTGAATTTTGGGCAAGGGACTAAATGTTCATTTATGGGATTTGGAAACTTGCCATTTCATTCATCTAAAAGGTAGAGATCCTGTCTGTGGTCTCAGAAGTAAGCAGGGTGGGGAGCAGAGCTGAATACATCTTCATTTCCCTCTCATCCTTTAAAACCCTTCATCATGCCTGTGTTCTCTGTGGCTGACCCTTCCCTTGTGTAACTGCTCTGGACCACTTGGGATGTACCCACAGGGTCACAGCACTCCTGTTAATTTGCCCTTGTGTTGTCACTTCCTTCTACATGTTTTATGTCTCTGGACCTTGTGTTTATTCAGTGGTGTCTCTGGTTGGACTTTAAGTTATTTAAAAGTCATGGGCTTCCGATTCTTTGTGACTCCTCCAAATGTCCTGGTCAGAGACACTCTGGGCCCAGGTGGCTCTAACATGGAGCCCTCTTTGGTCCCACTGTGCATGAGGAGTAGAATGAGGAAGTGTGAGCAAGCATCCTACTTTTTAGCAGCATGGCCTTGGGCAAGTCATTTAACTTTTCCATGCTTTCTTACATATAAAATGAGAACAATCATGTCAACTATCTAGGGTTACTGTGAGGTTAAAATGAGAAGATGCATTTAAAGTGCTTAGCAAAAATAAGGTGTTCAGTGATGAGTTATTATTGTTATTACATTGATGATGTGTGGGATTTCAGGCTATCATTTCCAAAAAAAAAAATACATGCTTGGTTATCTAGAAAAAAAACTTAACTTGGTTTCAATCACTAAAATCAGAGATGATTTGAATTAATTTAATTAAAAAAAAGAAAACTTTATAGGACAAATGACCAAGTTTCTGCAACAAAGAAGTGTAGGGAAAAAAATAAGCAAAAGATGAAGAGAGACTAAAGAGACGTAGTAACAAATGGCAATGTATGGACCTTACTCGGATCCCAATTCAAACAAACAGTGCTTGAATTGTTCCCCAAGTAAGGGAAAATAATGAATACTGACTGAATATTTGATAACAGTAAGGAATCGTTTTCTTTAGATGTGATTGTGGTGTTGTGGTTATATTTAAGAAAAAGTTATATTATTTTAGAGGTACATACTGAGATATTTACAGATGAAATTATATGACGTCTGGAATTTGCTTCAAAATAATCTGGGGCAGAAGAAATGAGTGGGAGGTATAAATAAAACAAGACTGACCACAAGCTGGTAATTGTTGAAGGTGGTTGATGGGCACACGGAAGTTCTTTGTATTCTCTACTTTTATCTGTGTTTGAAATTTTCTGTAATAAAAAGCTTTTAGAAATACAGTTTTTTTTCATTACCATCACAGGACTCAGTCTGAGAGGCACTAATACGAGGAATTTGCCACATTTGTTCCTCTCTGGTAGTTATGAACAAATATAATGCCTGAAACTCAAAATCCAACTGAATGTGGGAAATAATTTGACATTTCCCTTTTAACATTAGTCAGAAGAAACAGAAATCTGGTACATTTGCTTCCAAATTAGCATTTAAGACTTGTAATTGTTAACCCTGCAAACCTAGGGGGGAGGTTTTAAGCTGGCTAAGAGAGCAAACGGTTTCATTTTGTTTTGGGCAAGGGTTATAACCTTTGCCAGACTTTTCCTAATGCTTAAGTTTCACTGACTAGTCCGATTATTAGCTGGAATTTTGACTTTTGCTATAATGTGTATGCTTTTCCCTCAGTGTCTACTAAGATCCCAAGAGATGCCAAAACAATATATATTTTTAACAAGGTCCTACCTGTCATCTGTTTCAAAGTTTGCCTGTAGGCTCACAAAAGTCAGCGAGACCGTCCCCAGAGTGAGTCATCTGCGAGACTGCAGGCTGCTTCAGCCACTGTGGGCTTTCCTTTCTGTCCCCAGCTATTATTCTCCTTCTGAAGACATGTTTTTGAAACCAAGCTCAACTCCCTTAATTAACTAGCCCTCTTTCTCAAGAGGCCAAAACACTTGGGGTGGGGGTGGGTGAAGACATGGAAATAGGCTTTAACAAGATAGAGGTTGATTAGATCTCAAGAAAAAAAAGAGTTCTTCATAGTTAAAGAGTTGCTTGGGCATGGAATAGGGGAAGGAAGACAGATGTTGAAAATCTTCCCTTGAAAAATCTTCTAAGAGGAGGCAGCAGCTTTCTGATTGGAGGCTTTCAGGAAATCCTGCCAGCAAAGGAAGGGAGTCTTCACCCTTTGCAGAGACCCCTTACCTTTCCAGATCTTGGTTCTCAATACCAAGGTCTCCAATGCACCTTCCACCCTATACAACTGGTACTGTGTTCCAGGGAAGATTCTAGGAAATATTCATGTCACTGCTGGTGACAGGGCAGAAAAGCTCCCCCAAGGAGGCAGGACCCATCCCCAGGATGCCAGATCAACCTCCAGCCTGTTTAGAACAATAAACAGGACACTAGCTCTTCCTCTAGGAAAAAGTCGAAGCCCCTTGACAGGGTACATACTTACACTCTAGCTTATCCTGAGGTCTCCCCGTTTCCAGCAAGGACAGGTAACACATGACATCCTTCAGGTACACTATGTGGGATTCTGAGCCTGAAGACTGAGCATCATGGTTTCCCACGGGGGTCGCAGACACTTGGTCTTTAGTTGGCACTTGCTTCTCCGTGATCTTAGATTCTGTGACAGGCAAGAGGAAATCATCCAAAGGACACAATGTTTAGTAAACATGAAACCCTTTGTTGCCCCATTCTTTTTCACGGTAGAGACAAGAATTTTATGAGTGTCTTCAAAAGCACGGATTACATAGATATGATCAAATCAGTGGCCCTAGAAATCCAGATTGTAGAGTTCATACTTTCTGAATGAACCCCATACTGACCCTTTTAAGAGTCTATAGCCTTATAAGAAATTCACCTATGCTCTGCGAATTTTAAGAAAAGATGATAGTGAATTTTAGTAATATCAATAGCCAACAGGTAAATGTCATTTAGCCTAATTTTGGGGGGGAACACACCCAATTTGTAGAGGTAATTTTGTCTGGGATTCCAAAAATCCAGACTATTGGTTATCTACCAACATACTGTTTTACAATTTTCTTCTCAAATGCATTGAAAGATAAATAAAAAGATGAAAGTTCGAAAGAGAAAACTGGGATTGACAACTAATTTCCAGAAACCAGGAAGAATTGTGACTTACTGAAAGCTTAATCAGTTGTATAAGGGAAGTATAGAAAGTGGCTTGTCATACCACAGGGACAGAGTGCGTTTATTCAGAGAACCAAGGTCCCAAGCAATGGCAAACAGTTCAGCTCAGGCCAACAGAACCGTGCTAGATGAAAGCCTACCAGGTCCTAGGGGTTAGGTTGTGGTTTGAGAAGGGAGTTAGCCATCACCCAGATGCACAGTGGGTGAGACCAAAGGCCACTGACATACTCTGTATGTTACAAAGGGTCCTATGAAGAGACCAACATGGGACCCACAAAACAGAGCTGCAAAACAAGGAAAGGAAGCTTCATCATGAAGTCTCAGAGGACAAGATCTCTGGAAATAATTTCCTACCGGACAAGACCCTCGGTAGGTTGCAAGAAGGTGTAACTTCTATTAAACAGGAGCAGAAAGCCTCAGGGGTGAGCAAGTTGAGATGAAAACACAATAGGATGAGACAACAAGGATAGTGAGGTAGGGGAAAACTGCCATGAAATTACATACGCAACAGAAGTATTAAAATCATCACTGGAGGAAAAGTTATGGAAAAACGTAACTTAATAATGTATAAGACAAAGGTGAAAAATTCTTTGTATAGGGTAGCCCATTATGCCCCAAGTTATGTTATATCCTCAAACTATTCATCCATTAAAACACTATTAGAATGACTTCTATGCCAACTAAACTGGAATAAGAGGGACCAGATTTACCCTCCTACTGGTGCAACTAAAAAAACTGGACAAAAGATATGAAACAATGGTCCATAGGATATTGCATATGGCCAACACCAAAGGGCAATCCCAAGAGATGGGAAACAAATGAGGTGATCCCTACAAATGCCACATCTTACTGACTGGAAAGAGTTTCTAGGCTGTGGCACAGGGAGGGGAAACCCAGGCAGATCCTGGAAGTCTCTCTGAGTTGCAGAGATGGAGCTGGGAATCCTGGGAGTCCAAAGTGACTGGAGTTCACAGAGCAGAGCACTGAAGAGGAGGGAGTTGCACAGAGGGAACTCCAGCTGTCTCTGCAGAAGGTCCCTTTGAGTAATCAGCAGAGAGTTCCCTCAATTATTCATCTGAGTAGTGATTAGCACAGATGTGTGAGGAAACTACCTGAGGCTGGGGAAGGAATCAGGATGAGAGGGAACAATCCCTGGAAGGCATAGAGAACTAAGCATAGTGTCTATTCCCAGCAATCAGAGTAGAAAACTCCCATAATTCATGAATCATTGAGTAGAGTACTTAGAGAGTCTTGCCTTGCTAACTGGGCAAAATTAGCTCTAGAAAAAATGCCTTCCTAAAAAAAAAAAAAAATGCCTTCCTGGTCCTAGCTAACAAAAGCTTGACCCAAAAATGTCAACTTACCACCAAACCAGCTTTACAACAAATGCTAAAGGAACTTCTCTAGGCAGGAAACAGAAGAGAAGGAAAAGACCTACAACAACAAACCCAAAACAATTAAGAAAATGGTAATAGGAACATACATATTGATAATTACCTTAAATGAAATGGATTAAATGCTCCAACCAAAAGACACAGACTGGCTGAATGGATACAAAAGCAAGACCTGTATATATGCTGTCTACAAGAGACCCACTTCAGACCTAGGGACACATATAGACTGAAAGTGAGGGGATGGAAAAAGATATTCCATGCAAATGGAAATCAAAAGAAAGCTGGAGTAGCAATTCTCATATCAGAGAGAATAGACTTTAAAATAAAGCCTATTACAAGAGACAAAGAAGGACACTACATAACGATCAAGGGATCAATCCAAGAAGAAGATATAACAATTGTAAATATTTATGAAGCCAACACAGGAGCACCTCAATATATAAGGCAAATGCTAACAGCCATAAAAGGGGAAATCGACAGTAACACAATCATATTAGGGGGCTTTAACAAACCACTTTTACCAATGGACAGATCAACCAAGATGAAAATAAATAAGAAAACACAGCTTTAAATGATACATTAAACAAGATGGACTTAATTGATATTTATAGGACATTCCATCCAAAAACAACAGAATACACTTTCTTCTCAAGTGCTCATGGAACATTCTCCAGGATAGATCATATCTTGGGTCACAAATCAAGCCTTGGTAAATTTAAGAAAATTGAAATTGTATCAAGTATCTTTTCCGACCACAACGCTATGAGACTAGATATCAATTACAGTAAAAAAAAAACTGTAAAAATTACAAACACATGGAGGTTAAACAATATGCTACTAAGTAACCAAGAGATCACTGAAGAAATCAAAGAGGAAATCAAAAAATACCTCAAAACAAATGACAATGAAAACACGACGGCCCAAAACGTATGGGGTGCAGCAAAAGCAGTTCTAAGAGGGAAGTTCATAGCAATACAACCCTACCTCAAGAAACAAGAAAAATCTCAAGTAAACAACCTAACCTTACACCTAAAGCAATTAGAGAAAGAACAGAAAAACCCCAAAGTTAGCAGAAGGAAATAAATCATAAAGATCAGATCAGAAATAAATGAAAAAGAAATGAAGGAAACAATAGCAAAGATCAATAAAACTAAAAGGAGATTCTTTGAGAAGATAAACAAATTGATAAACCATTAGCCAGACTTATCAAGAATAAAAGGGAGAAGACTCAAATCAACAGAATTTGAAATGAAAAAGGAGAAGTAACAACTGACACTGCAGAAATACAAAGGATCCTGAGAGATTACTACAAGCAACTCTATGCCAATAAAATGGACAACCTAGAAGAAATAGACAAATTCTTAGAAAAGCACAACCTTCAGAAACTGAACCAGGAAGAAATAGAAAATATAAACAGACCAATGACAAGCACTGAAATTGAAACTGTGATTAAAAATCTTCCAACAAACAAAAGCCCAGGACCAGATGGCTTCACAGGCGAATTCTATCAAACATTTAGAGAAGAGCTAACACCTATCCTTCTCAAACTCTTCCAAAATATAGCAGAGGAAGGAACACTCCCATACTCATTCTACGAGGCCACCATCACCCTGATACCAAAACCAGACAAGGATGTCACAAAGAAAGGACTCTACAGGCCAATAACACTGATGAACATAGATGCAAAAATCCTCAACAAAATACTAGCAAACAGAATCCAACAGCACATTAAAAGGATCATACACCATGATCAAGTGGGGTTGATCAAAACTACAATGGGGTAGCACCTCACACTGGTCAGAATAGCCATCATCAAAAAATCTACAAACAATAAATGCTGGGGAGGGTGTGGAGGAGAGGGAACCCTCTTGCACTGTTGGTGGGAATGTAAATTGATACAGCCACTATGGAGAACAGTATGGAGGTTCCTTAAAAAACTACAAATAGAACTACCACATGACCCAACGATCCCACTACTGGGCATATATGCTGAGAAAACCATAATTCAAAAAGAGTCACGTACCACAATGTTCATTGCAGCACTGTTTACAATAGTCAGGACATGGAAGCAACCTAAGTGTCCATTGACAGATGAATGCATAAAGAAGATGCAGCACATATATACAATGGAATATTACTCAGCCATAAAAAGAAATTAAATTGAAAAAAAAAAGAAATTAAATTGAGTTATTTGTAGTGAGGTGGATGGACCTAGAGTCTGTCATACAGAGTGGAGTAAGTCAGAAAGAGAAAAACAAATAACGTATGTTAACACATATATATGGAATCTAAAAAAAAAAAGTCATGAACCTAGGGGCAAGACAGGAATAAAGATGCAGACCTACTAGAGAATGGACTTGAGGATATGGGGAGGGGGAAGGGTAAGCTGTGACAAAGTGAGAGAGTGGCATGGACATATATACACTACCAAACGTAAAATAGATAGCTAGTGGGAAGCAGCCGCATAGCACAGGGAGATCAGCTCGGTGCTTTGTGACCACCTAGAGGGGTGGGATAGGGAGGGTGGGAGGG